ATATTTCAAATTACAACTGTCAAGGGTTCTTTTATGGGCATGCCATTGTTTTTTCGTCCATTCGAACGATTAGACAACCACTCACAAGGGGAAACCACGCCGGAAAATCCCGAGGAACTTTATCTGCCAGCACCGGTTAGGACAGCTGTCTAGTCGTTCGGATGGGACGAAAAACCGAGGTCCCGTGTACACAATGGCGTGCATGTAAAAGATCCCTTGGCAGTTCGATATTAAAGTAGGCCGTAACGCCGCTGCCCGGGCAAAATTCCCCTCATAGCACACTGTATGGCGTATGTCTGTCTTCATTGGCCCAGGTTAGGAGCAGAACAGTAGGACGCTAAACCCCATTTCATTTCATTTCATTTCATTGCACTGAGTTACCGCGACTCCATACGCACAAAGAAAAAATACAGGTTAGGAGCAGAACAGTAGGACGCTAAACCCCATTTCATTTCATTTCATTTCATTGCACTGAGTTACCGCGACTCCATACGCACAAAGAAAAAATACAGGTTAGGAGCAGAACAGTAGGACGCTAAACCCCATTTCATTTCATTTCATTTCATTGCACTGAGTTACCGCGACTCCATACGCACAAAGAAAAAATACAGTTGAAACAAAATAACTGAATTCTTATATTATAAGTAACATGAATTTATTTCCATTGGTTACGTTACGTATTGTATAATTGTATGTGCAGTTATACGTAAGTACAGATTATACGCAAGTACCAATTTAATGCATATTTGGTACCTTGTCTATTTTCAACACTCCCAAAAAATGACAACTCTTTAAATTGTTTTCTTTACGGAACAATTAAAGAGGTATTATGGGATATCAGATAAAAAGTTGACTGTTCTCGCTATAATGGTTAAAATATAGATAACGTAAATAGAACCGAGATATTAGCTTTTGAATTTTAAGCCTAGTCTCGATCATTATTACTAAAGTCGGTACGATAAAAAGAATATTCTCGATTATCCAGTTTTGAATTTAATCATCAGTGAGCGTTGAACAGCAGATCGGATTCAAATCCAGTGAAAATCAGACCCATAAGATGACATCGAGAGTTGATTATGGTTTGGATAAGTTAATTAATGTCTAATTAATAGTTCATATAACATTTCAGCAACAGACAGATTTAGCTCTTGCATAATGTATGTTTAATTTTATACTTTTTACCCCCCCCCCCAAAAAAAAAGACCACGAAAAAACAAACAAAACAAAACAACACAAAGAATAAAACAACAAACAATCAATAACATTAGTCAACAATGTTCACTGAACTTGGTCTGTTAGAAAATATACAAAATAATTATGAAAAGTCTCCCAGATATCGGTGGATACAGAATCAAATTAAGTAAAAATAAATTGCGTACGTATGTCGTTAATCCTCGCTTGTTATAAAAGACAACAGGTGCTTGGATCACATACTTTTAAAACATTCTAGTTCTCTAAATAAACACCAATGTAATTAGTTGTCCTTTTAAATATAGCTTTTATATAGCCACGAAAAGAAGGCCAATTCATTCCATATTGAGCTCGTTTGTGGATAACAAAGCGTAGTTATTGATTCGTATAGAAATCGAAAGTAGAGTGTATTGATCACGATGATAATAAATATAGACAATACAGCAGAATATGTAGATTTGCGAATTGCATTTATTGGATTTAGTTGAATATTGAAGCTGGAAAATAACACTCAATATTGAATTTTATTTTTATATGCGGGTTTAGCAAATATCTGCCTGTTATAATGAAACAATGACCTTTAACGATTAACAGAAAATTAACGAGAGGGTCCAATAATTTACACAATTTTAAAAAACGATCTTTTAATTGGAGTGTTTACTTAAGTTTAATTTATAAATATGGAGTTTAAAATGGAATTCGATTGGACAATTCACTATAACAGGCTGCATTAACAATCTATTTATCTTGCGATGAGTTTTTTTATGCTTGAAAGAGAAGAAAAATGGGCATCAACAGATCGAGTTCCCTCCAGGGGCTGATTAGCGTAGTTGATCTTCGATCTAAAATAAATAAAGACCAGTCACGTTTAATGAATCGTATTGTTGGAAGTTCTTGTCAATAGTTAACTTTGTTATGAAGCAATTTCAACTCGCTGCCTTTAGAGGTGGGTACATGAGTTAATAATTATAGGGATATTCATATTCAATATCGAGAGAAAGAGAGAGAGAGAGAGAGAGAGAGAGAGAGAGAGAGAGAGTATCTATAAAATCCCTTTTTATTTGCTTATTTTGAAAAGTGTGCGCGAAAATTCTCTGAAGAAGCAAAAAGATAAATTTCATAAAATATGCCAGTTACAACGTTTTGGCTTCTTACCAATGATATCTAGATACAACATAAGTGTTTGTGAGGAAGAGAGAGCATTGGGGTTTAGCGCCTATTCGACACAAACCAGGTCATTTCGGGACTAGCATATGTTTCAATTTTATGGTAATGTCGTTTGGGATAACTGTACTAAGAAAGATTCTGATTTATTAGAAAGTGTCCAGATAGAAGCAGGGCGAATAATAACAGGGCTACGACGAAATTCTCAAAGAAAATTTATTTATTCTGAACTTGGATGGGAGCTACTGTCTCAACGCAGAGAAAAACAGAAACTGATCATGCTTTATAAAATCTATTATGGTTGTGCGCCGACATATCTGCAAGATATCTTAACTGATTTTTTTCATTTCTTTAGTTACAACCTGCGTTCTTCGAATCTCAACCTCCAAATTCCTTCATGTAAAACAACGTCTTATTTTATCAGTTTCTTTCCAAGTACTATACGACTATGGAACAATCTGCCTACTTACGTCAGAAATTCAAATAATCTTAATCAGTTTAAAACTAATATCTCTAAGTTATATCCTTTTCAAAAAATCAAACCCTATCATAACGTTGGTGTCAGAAAAGAGAATATTTTACACTGCCAAATAAGAAACAATAGTAGTAACCTAAAGAGCCACCTCAAAGAACAATTCTTGTCAAATTCTGCTGTTTGTCCTAATTGCCCGAATGCAGAAGAAGATTCATATCACTATTTTTTTTTCTTTTCATATTTTAATCAAATTAGAATACATATGTTCGAAATTATTAGTAAAATTATAAATGATCAAAATATTAACTTTTTATCAAACTAAGTCACAGATTTTAATTTCAAAATCAGTGCAAAATACACTTCCACATAACTTCTGTATATATGTTCTTTAAATCTAATGTTTGTACATTCTTTAAAGATATTTTGTAAATAACATACCTCTATTTATTATACCTTTGTATCCATGGAAAGAGCTGATATAGGCTTCAAGCCTGTTGCCCAATCCCATTCGTTTGTGAATAAAATATTGTTTAAATCAATTTTATTTCAATAATTTGCTTGCACTTAGGGGTCTTTTGCAGTAGGAGGAAACCAGAGGATCCGGGGAAAACCCACAGGGTTGGACAGGCGACCCTACTCCTTGTCACGTACAACCGGGGAATCGAAACCGGGCCCGTAGCCCCCCAATATTTCGCCAACAATAATGATTTCTTTGGAGCGTTCTTAGCCGGCCACATCCTCAGCCACTCCAAAAAATTCCGTAGCCCCACCAAATTTTAAGAGCTGGCTACGGGCCCGATCGAAACCACGCCAGTTGACTCAATGACAGACCTTATGATACACCGCGCACGTGCTAACCATTCGGCCAACCAACCCCCCATTTCGGGATTAGCATATGTTTCAATTTTATTTCAATAATTCGCTTGCGCTTAGGAGTCTTTTGAAGTGGGAGGTACCAGAGTACCATAAGAAAACCCACGTGGTTGGATAGGCGATCCTACACCTTGTCACTTGACACGGAGAGACTGTCATTAAACTTCTTCCACCCCCACCGACCAAATAACTTAACCCCAAAGGTGCGTGTCACAGTGGATACTACGGATAGGTTAAAAGGTGACTTTAATTGGACAAAGTCGTGAAGTATTAACGTCGATGCAAGGGATACATCAGTTTACTGCTGCCCACATGGACGATTAGTACAGGCGAAACTTTCCCTGTCAGATCCATTGGCACCATCCCAAAGAAACTTGCCAACCTGATTAAAATACAGATCTATATTTCGTTTTGTGTTTTTTTATACTTTCGATAGTAAAAGACAAGTAAAACGAAATTTTGAACTATAAAAACGAAACGAAATATGATCTGTGTTTTAATTAGAATGGAAACTTGCATGCCAAAGCGAACTTGTAAATGTGATATGGTATCCGATGTTATATCTTAAGGAATAGACAGACCCTGATTTATAAAGATCAAAAAGAATTAGCCTGACCTAAACCCCCACAAAAAGGACTAACATTTCTAGAATAGAGATGTCTGTGGCCATTTCTATGCAATAAAAGCATAACGGAAAATGTTTGAGTTATTCGCCAATATGAAACAGTTCGTTATTCGCCAGTATGAAACAGTTCGTTATTCGAATAGAAAGACAGCCTTTTATCCCAAGATTTTGGAGTGTTATAAACCAATTAGGCTCATGAAAAACCACTCCCGAATACCGAACAACAAACTGGCGAGTTGTTCGTTATTCGGGTAGAAAGACAGTTTGCTAGGACTTTGAAGTGTTATAAACCAACCAAGACCCATAAAAACCCACTCCAGACGTATTCCCTATAAAAGTGCCTTTGTAATATTACTGATTCCGGCAACTTGCTAGAATCTACTTCTCAGGACTTTGAAGTGTTATAAACCAATTATGCTTATAAAAAAAACATTCCCGGCCTATTCCCTGTAAAAGTGCTTTTATTATATTACTGATTCCATATCTGCAGAATAACGAACAACGAACTAGCTCGTTGTTCGTTATACGCGAATACAAACCGGCTCGTTGTTCGCGAATAACGAACCACAAGGTAACTTCACATCGCTTGATGTACATGTATAATGATATTCGAATTGAACTTATTTCAACTCAGGTAAATTTGCACAATCCAAAACAAAAACAATACAGAACTTGCTTGTTAATTCCAAGTTATATTTCTAAAAAAACGAAGAATCAATTAGTCCATGCTAATTACACTCACAAATAGTGCATTTAATAGAGAACAAGCCATCCAATTATAATGTAACGATTAACTATATTTCAATAGATTCATATAAATATAATACAATAGAAATTTCTTAATTAATTCCAACATTGCAATATAGAGTTTTATATCAAATGGCGGGAACAACAGCACCTGGTTAATTTCTGCATTAACAGAGTCAATGATGAGACAATTGTTTTTTTTTAAAGGACACATTAGCATGACGTCAAAGCGGCCATCTGGGTATTGTGACGTCATATCAAAAATTGAACCCCGTTAATCGATGCGCAATTGTACAAGGAACACGCATGCCGTGTGTCATGTCGATCGTCCTTGAACTGGCGGAGCCTTCGGCTTATTTCGATGATGAGTAGCGTTTGGGGATCAGTTCCCGGTCAAAAAGTCTTGGGTGCAAAAAATGTTGCCATTACGTTTATAGAACACTAGTCAATATCACGGCTTCACGGGTAGCCTACAGTTGAGCGTCACAAAAACAAGCAACATCCCGTTACAAATGAGCTAAACCCAGTACTGTTTCTTATTAAGCACAGGCACACTGAATTTAACCTTTCTGTTGTCCGGTGATTGGTTGTGGTTGAAGTCGTATGATGTAGTTGTAATGTGTCCATCAGATTTAGACTGGTTTGAATCGTCCTTGTTGTGGAAGACTGGGTACGGTTCCCCAGATGGAAGAGACGCCGGTGCTATAGCTGGGAGATTACCCAACGATCCGGAGTTGACGTCAGCACCAAGACTCCAGCTCCTGAACATCTCAGCTTCTCGCGCTGGACTGACACGACTGTTTTCAGCTGTTGGTGGGACGTGTCCATCGGCGGAATTTGTCGAGAAACTATTTTGACGTGTGTTTGTACCCGTTCCTGGATGAGAAGCGTACTGCCGTCCACCGACATTTGAATACGGGCGATCTGGGCTGAAAATGTCACTTGCGCAGGAGCTAGTCGGGTTAGACCGTGGTACAGATGGATTAAATGAAGTGATGCTGCTTCCAACGTTAGGGAACATGGACGTGTTATCCGAATAATGTGAATTATTCTCGGATATATCAATGCTGCTTGTTGCAGTGAAGTTCAGTTTAGCATGGGAACCATTGTAACAAGTGCTAGCAAGTGGATATGCGTAATTGGGAGTGTTGTTCAGTCTACTGGCATGGAATCTGGAAATGCTGCTTGGAAGACTCAAGGAACCACTAGCACTATCAGTAAAGCTGGTCGTAGCAGAGAGTGGGTTGCTGTGAATATTGTATTGTGATCTATTTTCAGGCAAAGTGTGGATGGACGAAAGATCTGCTCCATCGGTCAATGAAGGAGGGGCTCGTCCTATCACAGGATATATTGTGGACGGGAGGCTGACGTTGTCATGGATATGGGTAGAGACAGCTGAATCTCCACCTTGCAGATTGCCGCTAAATTCAGACTCTCTGTCATACTCTGTTGTGGGAGTTGTGTGATGTGGATAGAACGGGGATGTCTTCTCCATTTCACGCACCACCTTAGATTCCTCGTAGTATTGGTCATTCCCAATCTGGTTAGTTATAGGGTTCTCTATCACATGAATGGGTTGCTTTTCGTTGACATGTTGCATTTCTGTATCTTTTGATGATTGTGCAATCCACGTAAGGTGATACGGGGCGAATCGTTCGTGGGAACTGAAGAACTTGGGTTTAATTTCTGTGACGGCTGTTTTAGAGTTTGAAGAATCAAGTTCATCGATTGGGGAAAGAATTTGAGGCTGGTTAGCGATTTTCCAGCCATCTTCATCCGGTGTTAATCTCAAAGACGCCTTTCTTCCCAGGGGAACAATCTGTCCTTTTCCAAAAGTTGAAGCTCCCGTGGATCTGGCAGAAGTCGTAGACCGAGCGGAACCGCGATCTCGTTTAGAATTGTTCTCAGCGCCTTGTCTGTTGAATTCAGGATTTTGTCTGCTTGGGGAATATCTCTGCAGACGTCTTTTATCGCGCCAATTATGAAAAAGGAGGCAAGCTGCAACTGCAAACAGAAACAATCCAATAATTGTAATGGGTGCTATGAATGCCCAACTCACCACCCCAGAAGTGAAAGGTACTCGTTGAGACGTAGTTGTGGGCGGGAGGTAGGTAGGGATGCCAGCTAATTTGGAGAAATATTGAAAGGCTGTAAGGTTATGCCCCTTTAACACTTCTATCAGCCGTTTCTCTACATTGATCTGTGTATCGTGGAGCAAGCTTCTGTTTACATTAACTGAATTGTTTGTGTTCAAAGTTAAATTAGGAATCGGATCGATAATAGTCCCCAATGTTTTAGAAGTAACTGCAGGAACTGTCGAAGCCAAACTTGTCCAATTCATCATAATGTTTTAATAAATCCCTTTTTAATCATGACTTTAGTCTTGTTTTTTCCAGTATAGTTTATCAAATACTTATACATAAGTCCATCTCAAACAAACCACAACACAATATCCTTCAAATTCTATTCTGAAAACAAACATACAGTATCAGTTTGCTGTTTGAAAGAGTAAATCATAATAATATTGTTCATTTGGGGCTTCAAGGAAGTGGGCACGTGACTATAAACATGCACTTGATTCGAATATATACAATGTCAATATTCCTCTTTTTCTTCTTGACAAGCGATTTGTAGTTTTTGCCTTTGGCAGCTATTGTCTTCAGATTTTTGCAGTTCGTGTCATCATTGATTCTCTTCCTTGTTTTTTTAATCACCAGAAAACACAAATAGTTGAACTGTATCAAGTAAAAATCCTATCAGTTTTGAACAATAATTGAAATTTAAAAAAAAATCTTTTCGGCCTCCATTGTTGTTGTTGATTCACTTTAAACCGGAAATGCTTCGACGAGTCCATTTCAAACTTTTCGAGAATGTCTAAAGAGGGAGATTTTAAATGTTTGTGGTTTAAAATTTATTCAAATTTATTCAACCCAGACTGTTGGTACTAAGGAGGTGGTTAAATGCTGTGTATACTGTATGCCCAGACCGGTTGGGGAAGCATGATAGAAAGGTATATTCCATCTCTTCAGAGAGAACAAAGTAGACTATTCCAAATGCAAAGCACGTACATTAATGAGACTGGACAGCGAACAGTTTACAGACTACCCTTATATTTGTTTTTCCAGTCACAAGATCTTGCTAAAAAGTGACCCGATTCCGGTTAGGACAAAAAGTCCGGACCCATTGCAGATTTCGTCATAGGTCACGAGATTTAAAAAGGGCTAGGGTTGAATAAGAATTAGGTTGAGAGCTAGGGTTAATCCTTACCCTAAACCACAATCTCGTCAACAATCACGTGACCTAACCCTATTTACATCTCGTGACCTATGACAAAATCTGCAGTGGGTCTGTGCTTTTAGCACTACCCCCATGATTCCCATACCCCAACACCCTTCCCCAAAGAATAGTCATAACAAAGTTCCATTATTGGACATCGTATCTTAAAAGGCACGATACCGCCTATGGAAGGCGAAATAGCTCTTTATTCTGTGTTATTTATTCTTAGCTCTTAAAGGACAATATTGGTGTCAATCATTATCACAGATGTGCTAGAACTGGTTAAACACGTTCCAAATATAATTTTAACACAGATCATTGGTACAATAGATAAGTTATGAAGATTTCAAGAAACGGAAGTAACAAACGCAAAAGGGAAACACGAATTATCCTCCTATATAACTGACTTAAGTGACGGGCGAATTTCTGCTCACTAATAATTCCTTCAAAGACCAAAAGGTGAGGCCGTGAAAGGATATCATCTGTAATCCAAAAAGTAATTGAATGTCACTAGATAAGGGAAAACGAGAAAAATAGAAACAGTCCCTACATTCCCTTGTTTTTATTCATTCTATACTTAACAGTTTCCTGGTGTCAGTGGTGCAGGTCAGAGGGCCTGACAAGGTCAGTGTCTAGTCTTTCGGATAGGATGACAGCCAAGGTCCCATGCACATGTTGGCATGCACGTAAAAGAACCCCTGATAGTTAGAATTCGAAATAAGAGTAGGACATAAGAGAGAGAGAGAGAGAGAGAGAGAGAGAGGGAAATGGGGTTTAACGTCCACTCGACACAAACTACATGTAGGTCATTTCGGGACTAACACACGGTTAAATTTTATTTCAATAATTCGCTTTCGTGTAGGGGTCTTTAACAGTGGAAGGAAACCGGAGGCCCCGGAGAAAACCCACGAGGTTGGACAGGCGATCCTACTTCTTGCCACGTACAACCGGGGATTCGAAACCACGCCAGTTGACTCAGTGACAGACGTTATGATACAGCGCGCACGTGCTAAACATTCGGCCATCCAACCCCCTGTCCAATTTGGAGCTCTGTTTAAAGCGTAGGGCCAAATGAAATTGTTACGCAGTTAGCTATTGGCTGTTAATTGAACTATTGACCAGTCATAATTTGGAACAGAAATTTGCTCCCATTACAGCAGTGTTAAGTGAGATTAGCTTTAATCAAACTAAACACTGCGAGGAGTATGGGAGATGGTGGGGTCGGGGTGGTTGCGGGGCCCCTGTGTAATCTTATAATTAGAAGTTAATGCTACAAATGTTAATACTTCTGTTCACTTCTCCAAACGTAGATTCAGGTGTGTAGAATAGAGACGGGAGTATCTCTATGGGAGGTCAGAGGGACATTTTAAACGGCGTGTGGTTCTAAAGGGGATGGTATTTATGGCCCTTCAAAATGTGAATGTTTGCTTCAGATCCTGACACAATAATTATTATCTATTCAAGGGAGACTAATCTATTTTGACATTAGGTTTCAGACTAGTAATTTTCTTCACTCTGACTTTGAACATAAATCCATGCATACATTTTTGGGGAGAGAGAGAGAAGTGGGTTTTTTTTTTTGACCTTCCGATGATCTTTATATTTATAACCACAAAGTTCTCAACATATCACAAACGTCTGATAAAACTAGTGAAGGAGGTCAATTGTCTTCATTATTTTTTAATTTTTATAGGTTATGACTTATTTTTTTTTTCAGGTGATTTCTATATTTACATGTCCCCCAATTCATGTCGGTTACCGTTAACTTTCAGGGGCCTGTTTCACGAAATTTTAACTAAGATAAAATCCAAATTTTAGTTATTTGATTGGATAATATTAAATTGATTTTAGTGCTTAGCCAATCAAAACTGAAGTATCTACTAAAATTTGGATTTTATCTTTAGTTAAGATTTCGAGAAACGGGGCCCAGATCCTACTAAAATTTGGATTTTATCTTTAGTTAAGATTTCGAAAAACGGGGCCCAGATCCTTCCGACTCAAAATCATGAATATTCACTAAAACCTGGCCGAATTTGTAAATTCAAATACTCTTCTTTGATTGTCAACATAAATCACAATGCAAAAGTGAGGTAAAAGGGAGAAAGAGACAAATGCTAGACTATTTTCATTTTCAATAGAAGGCTTGATCTCGCTTCAACTCAGTTCGTCTTATCTTGATGTTGAAAAACTTGCGGTCGTGGCTTCAGGAACATGGACTACTAGTATTTAAAGTTTTGACGAACTACATTCTGGCTTGCAGTTGTGGTTTCGATGCCTGGTTTGAGCGTATGTGGCTTGGAGATAGGGGCGCCTTCTCAACCTTGTGGGTTTACTCCGGGTACTCCGTTTCCTCCCACAGGAAAGACACCTGCATGTGCGCGAAGATAATAAAAATGAAAAATAAGGCATCTTGTCTGCGATATCATCTTCGGTGGAAGTGGACGTTAAACACTAAAAACAACAGGGTTCCCGCGGTCCTTGAAAATCCTTGAATATCCTTAAATTTAAAATTTCATTTTCAAGGTCTTGAATATCCTTGAATTTCGCGGAAATAGGAAAATATCCTTGAATTTCAGTTGAGATCCTTAATTTTGTTTCAAATGTCTTCAATTCCTTTTAAATATGAGATTATAACGATAGTTGGTAATGTTTTGGTTATTTTTAAGATGAAAAATTGTAACTTTAGGCTAAAAAATGTCCTTGAAAATCCTTGAATTTGACGTATATTTATCCTTGAATATCCTTGAAAAAATGTTTGACGAAGCCGCGGGAACCCTGAACAACAACAACTACATTCTCATCATGAAATCAGGAAACTGATGACTAGTCTTTAACCATAAAACAGAAATGAACTGGGGTTTAACGTCCTACTGTTCTACTCTGCCTGAGCTAATGAAGACGGGCATACGCCATACAGTTTGCTATGAGGGAAATTTTGCCTGGGCAGCGGCACTATGGCCTACTCTTATATCGAATTCCAACTGCCAAGGGATCTTTTACATGCACGCCAATGTATACATGGGACCTCGGTTTTTCGTCCCATCAGAACGACTAGACAGCTGTCTTGAACTGTCTCGGCCAATGCAGGGATCGAACACATGACTTCCAGGCTAGTGAGTTAACGTCTTACCCTCTTAGCCACCATGGTTCCTAACCATAAAACAACCGTTAACAAAATATTTATACAAATAACATTTTATTTAGAATTTGGCGAACAATGGCAATTAACAACATGAAACTAATATAGTTATTAAATAGTTCAATATATCATTTCTATAAACTTGTATCATAAAGTGTGTATATCTAGCCAAATAAATAACCCATATCTATCCTTTTTACAATATCTACATTATTTTAATTGCTTATTATGATAAAAAGATAAAAGATCTTCAATTCTTAAATTTCAAAGCTGCTTATCATCCTTTGAGGGAATTCGAGTCGCTTAAAAACAATAATATTGCGAACATTAAACCCTCTAAATCAAATATCAGTCCCAAAATGGTTAAATTTTGTTCAGTATTTTGTAAGATATGATAAATTGGGAATTTGCCAATATTCGATATCCTCTGCAGACAAGCCAGGCGCACCTATAATTGTTGGGTAAACTTTTTTGATGGACCACATTATTTTCCGATTTAATCCAAGCCAGAAGATTATCTACCATTAGTATTTTAGTTTTCTTAAATAAATAACGAATCTGAGTACATTTTAGCATGGTCTGAGCCATATAAAATTATATATGGTCTGAAAAATTGACGATAAGCAGCCGTAAGCTAAACAGATAATTAACATACAAAGGTAAATCCTACTTTTGATTTCAAGAACATGGAAAATCCATAATTTCTAGAACATGGAAAATCCATAATTTCTGGAAAATCCATAATTTCTAGAACATGGAAAATCCATAATTTCTAGAACAGGGATAATCCATAATCTTCAACAAACTGGTGGATTAGTCAAGGTGGAAATGAAACCCATTTGTGGATTCAGATTCAATATCTGAAAATTTACCAATCCGTTACTATTGTAGCTAAATTTGAATTTAAGATGATTATGTCAGTATATTGAATCAAGTGTAAAATAGTCTCCCATTTAGTATTTTTATTATTACTATGTATTGCATAGTTCTAATAGAGATCAATGATAACATCTCCCTATCAATTGGATATAATTCTCTCATTAACAAATAATATTTGTTCAATATTTTACATTAATATGGACTTATTTTTCACAAAATACAACATCGCAAAAAATATCTTGTCGACTTTTCTCGGACATGTTTACGAATATTTATAGCAGGAATACCGATTATCAACAATCATAAATAAGCCACATGTCTGTGGAATACAATTACTTATTATTACTAACAGACATCTAGCAATATTTGGCTCTTATAAGTAGAGGGGACTCTATTCAAGTGCTCAGCATGGTTTGCACATGTTTTCTGAATAATAAATTTACTTATTTTGTTGGTTTGTGGAGGGGTTCTATAAGAAGTGGCACTCCCACTCTCCAAGTCCTCCCAGAAGTAATTGTGAATTTAATAGTCCATAGCCGGTTAGATCTAATTCATAAGGCCAACTTCAAGTTTGGTCAAAGGTCACAAGATGTAAACAGGGCTAGAGCTAATCCCAACCCCGGACCGAGCACTAATGCTTAACCTAACCCTAATATACAATCTTGCCAACAATCACCTGCTATAACCTTTTTTACACCTCAGCGACCTCAACGAAAATTGAGCTGGCCTTAACAAATAGATTTAGCCATCCATAGCCTGTTCTACATAGCTACATTTTCGCCAATGAGGCCTGTCAAGTCCGTGTCATTGTTACGAAGGTAGTTTTTGCGATATATCTGACATGGAACAATATCACATGATATTATGAATAATCTTATATACAGTGTACAATATAATAATAATAACTGTTGTAGAGAAAATATCTTAATGTATGTACAATATGTAATAATAAATAACATTATCAACTAACTTCACAGACAAAACGTATAATAATAGCCTGTATTATCGCATGGGACGATTTACCCAATACCACAACATACTACCCAATACATAATGATGCAAAATAAAGCAAAATAGACACATCATTTGATTTTTTTCAAAAATAGAGAGTTATATCGCAGGAAATGTACTCCAAATACGATACCGATGTCCGATGTTCCATTTGCCTCCCTATATCACCCAAAACAAGCAAATAATAACCCAATACTATCAAATACTTGTCAAATGATATGTCTATTTTGAATCATTATGTTGTAGTATTGGGTAGTATGTGCTGATATTGAGGTATTGGTGTGGTATTGGGTAGTATTAAATAAATCGTCCCGCCGGTATTTTCTTTAAATCTATTTCTAGCTTAAAGGTATGTAGATACAAAATAGGTACATTAATGACAGATTTGAAGAAAAGGGGTGGATTGAAATCAATCAGAATAAAATGTAACAAACATAAGGACAACATAAAGAGTAAGCAATTAGTAAGTACAGGATGATCAAATCTACAAAAAGGGAGATAAATATACAGATACCAGAAAGGGTAAGCATTAAAGGGTTTTACTGGCATGATATGATTTTAGGAAGATGGATATGATATGGTTTAAAATGATTAACAAATATTAACAAACCTATTATTTTGAAATTTTCTTTGATTTATCAAAGGGTAATTCATTTTATTCTACAGCAAATCATGAATTGGGATATATATCACCTAAACAGGTGTTTTTTTTTGTTTTTAAAAAAAATCAGATAGGGATAAGATAACCAATGTGTCGAACAAAGTGGGGAAGTGCGGAGGATTAATTTTGAAATATTAAAAAAAATGACAAGAAGTGCACATAGTCATAGGTATAATATATAGATAAGGGTGGTGGGTTTACATCCAGTAAAAACTTCCCCAATCCACCAGACTTGATAAGGAATGTGAAAATGTTCAATTTTATATTAAAACCCTTTAATATTATCCATGTTTAATAAATACAATTACAGGTACTCTTGTGTCTTTTATTTTATTATAGGTAGATCTATGACTGAAAGTTGAGTAAATTCATAAGTCTGAGAATGCTTTGTGAACTTGGGGCCAGACAAACTGTGACTGACAAATCCTGAATCCGTGCCCGACATTGTCTGTGACAGGTGACTTATTTCAAGGCTCTGCTACCACCGAAGGTGATATCATAGACAAGTTGTTTTTATTATCCTAGCGCACGCCCAGGGGTCTTACCTGTGAGAGGAAACCGGAGCACCCGGAGTAAACCCGCGAGGTTGAGAAGGCGCCCCTATCTCTAAGCCACATACACTCACACCAGACATCGAAACAACAACCACAAGTGGTCAAAGCTTTAAATAGTCCATATTATAAGTGTACTCACAGGGGTTGAAAACCTTAATAATCAAAGTCAATAGGATTAGAAAATCACATAGAAAAAGTTTAGTCTTGAAGTAAAAGATCTCTATTACAATTAATTATTTATGTGTTAGTAAAAAAAAAACATTCATACCTAAAATAATGTACAACTAATAATTTATTAACATAACAATATCAGACTTTAAAGTCAATTTATAAATAATACCATTTTACAAAATCCAACATATAACATAGCTAGATGTCATTCTGAATGTCTAACAGTAATAACATCAATGTTTAAAATTAGCTTCAGTACATGTGAGCTGACAAATTTTATTTGTATTTGACAGCGCGAGTTGACAAATTTGTAAGATACTTGGCATTTTGATAGGTTTTTAAAACAAAAAATACATTCAGCCTTTTTTTTTAAATGTTTGTTTTATAATGAATAAATCAGGACTTTCTCCATATACTGACACGTGAGCACCGGCAACACAATTTTGTTTTGTATTTGACAGCTTGATGAAAGACAGTATCAATAGAAATGTTAAAGCTATCAGTCAATATTTGATTATACTTTATACATCATTTTATTGTGTGAATAACTATGTAATATATACAATAATCACAAGAGAATAATCTCTGATCTAGATCACGCTTTAAAAGCTCTAAAGACCGAAATTGATTATGATAAAATGATAAGAGAATACTTATCGAAACGTCAATGTTTCTGTATAATAAACCAGTGATTGTTTTCCCATATAACTGTGTTAGTTCTGTAATGTTTTCAATCGCTAAATGCCACTAAAGGATTATTCTATATCTCATGGCACAACTATCTAAATATATCAATAATTTAAACAGCAAACTAATAATATCAATTCTTTTTCTCCAAAAACAAACAAAACAAATAAACGACAATACTTTTGTTCCTTACTAGCAAAAGTTGTTAAGAAAATATTGCGGATTATTGTGCATAACAAAAGATACAAATTTGGCACAAATTATTCAGATGATGCAAAACTTCAATCTCAATCCCAGTGTTAACTTTACCCTTTGATTATCTTTGGTAAAACTTGCCGGCCATTAATCGGCGTGGAATCAATTCCTAAGCCCCGACCCCCAGTGGCTACTGATTGGCAGTAGCTGCTGATTTCTCGATGGCCCTTAGAATATTTTCCACATCTTGACATTAAAAGGTCATTTGAAAACAGCCGAATTGATGATTTACCAGGAACTATTTTTAGCTCACAAAGTGTGTGATTCGGCTAAATATGCGAGTTTGAGCTGCCATCTTTGATCTGTGTGAAGCGACCGACATCACATGACATGTGATACATCACATGACATTCTAAATGGCCGGCGAGTTTTCCAAGAGATAAACAAAGGGTAAGTTTATCTCTGGGAATGAGATTGGCAAAACTTATATTTGAAAAGATGAAATTCTATCTCATAAGCTTATTGCCTTTCCAATAGATAGATATAACAGTCTTTTACTTATATCATAAAAGCCGAGAGAGCATTTGAAACATGAAGAGCCCCGGGGAAGAACGATCCAAGTCATTTTTTCAACTAACCCCAGTTAATGGCGTCCTCTGGTAGCAAATAGTAGAAGCTTTCTGTGGAACAATCAATTTCAGGTAAAAACGATCGGAGTCAAATCGAACCAAGGCCCTTCTGAAATGGCCTCCCGGACAAATACAAGTCCATCGTACCCTTTATTTGACCTTAATTTGGCTGAAAAGTGGAAGTCAGTTTTTGTACTGGTAATTATGATTCGTATTAAACATCATTTTGAAGTTGAAATTAAACTCACTCGTTCTGATTGCATCAAGTATTCTCGTCCAAAAGTCTGTTTTGCCTTTTAAGTGAAAAGACATAAATGTGACTTAGATCGTTCTTCCTCTGGACTCTTCATATGTTTTTGGATTAGAAGCTGTGTATAAATGAGGAAACTCAATAAGCTATATGTATTTTCATATTTCAAATGTTGGTGATTGAATAAACGTCAAGCTTTACTACGCGATAACCAGCAATACAAGTTGTATCTTGTTTTTGTTTTTTTTTTAATATGAGAATAAACAAACCTAAAATATGAATTAAACATAGTACAGTGAAACATGACAAAAATCCGCAATCCATGAAATTTACATACCAGTAATTTCTAAACACTGTAACCAGGGTATGTTTCATTTTATCTTGTGTATTTAGCACTAATTTCTTTCACATTCATTTAATATTATATGTTTGTTTAATATTCGTAAAAAATTATTTAAAATCACCAAAAATCATCTAATTTGTACTTGTGTCCAGTTTAAAGCTGACTGATTAATTTATGAGTGTCCAATCTACAAGCCTTTAATTTCCTGAACACTGTTAAAAAAATAAACAACCCAATTGATTATTGATGTATAATGATTAATTTTTGAACAGTGGTCAGGAAATTAAACGCTTATAAATTGGACACTCATTATCAAAATTAATCAGTCACTGATTTTTACGAGTTTTTAAACAAAGATTTGATATTAAATGACCGTGAAAGAAATTAGTGCTAAATACACAAGATTAAATGACACCTGGGTTGTTAATCATATTGAAATTATATTTAATTTATCAATCACCCAACTGTCAATTTATGAATGAATGATAAACAGAACAGGTTTTACTGTACTATGTTTTTTTTTCAAGCTATGTGTAACAAAAATGAGAAACAATTTTAAGTAGTGTGAGGAATCTTTGTTCATCTTTGATCTTGTACCTCCATCTTCTATTTAAGGCTTTGTGTTCATTAATTCATATCAGGTGGAACATCTAACAAAAAAATAGATATCAAGGCATTTAACAAATAAATAAATACATTCTATCAAGGCATTTAATGATATAGAGAGAGAAAGAAATAGGGTTTAACATCCACTCGACACAAACTAGGTATTTTGGGACTAACATATGGTTTTATTTTATTTCAGTAATTTGCTTATGTGTAGGGGTCGTTATCAGTGGGAGGAAACTGGAGAACCAGAGAAATCCCACGAAGTTGGACAGGCGACCCTACTCCTTGTCACATACAAGCGGGGATTCGAACCACACCACTTGACTCAACGACAGACCTTATGATACAACGCGCACACTAACCATTTGGCCAACCAACCCCCCAACCCCCCCCCCTGCAGTGGGAGGAAAGCTGAGGACCTGGAAAAAAAATGAAAGGTTGGACAGCAGACCCAACCCTTTGTCACGTTCAAGCAGGGAATCGAAACCATGCCACTTGCCTCAATGACAGACCTCATGATCTAAAGAGCACAGGTTAAACCAGTGATTCTCAAGCAGTGTGCCACGAGATCTTCCTAAGTGTGCCACGAAATTTTGAACGGCACACGGCAAAAAACCATGTGATCCCAAATGATTATTCACTCGTGTCCCCTGGTAACTTATAGCTGTGTTTTCTTTATTTAGTTTGAGTCATTCTATGTGTCTATGTCTACGGTTTTATGCTGTGTATGACTTGTCATGTTTTTATTTTGCAAAATTCAAATATTTTTCATAAATATTTAGCCAGGTGTGCCACTATTTTGTCATTCATTCCAAGGTGTGCTGTTGGCAAAAAAAAGGTTGGGAACCACTGCATTAAACCATTGCTCACCCATTCAAGATGGAGGGGGCGGAGGGAATAATTCAAGGACAAAAAATACTCTTTTGCTCTTCTCAAAAGTTCCATATATTTACGTTTTGAAATTATTAAAGATACATTATGGAAGATTAGACAAGGAGCTGACAGTTCTCACTATGTATAATAGTTAAAAACTATATAATGTAAAGGGATTATGCTGGAAATTTCAGTCAAATTGCTTCACTCTAAGTCGAGAAAATCTATTTTAGAATCGCTGTAGCCTCGATTGTCATTGTTACTGCTGTCACAATAATTAAAGTCTCGATTATCCATTTTTGCGGTTAATCATCAATGGCCATCGAGCAGCAGATTGGATTCAAAGCCAGAGAAATTCAGACACATAAGATGGCATCGAGAGTCGATTATGGTCTTGTTTTGTTAATAAATGTCTAATTATTAATTTATATAACATTTAAGGCCCAAAGAAAGACCTGCTATAGAGTTGGTTATGATCTGGATAGGTTCATTAATGTCTAATTATTAATTTATATAACATTTCAGGCCTAAAGAAAGACCTGCAATAGACAGATTTAGCTCTTGTATAATGCACGTTTAACCAAATCAATTAAGTGGCTATTTATTTCAAAAGACCCTGAAGAGCTAAACATTAATTTGAAACCCTATTTTACCTGATTCTGTTACTGGATGAAGTCCTAATGCATTACTAAATTCTTCTAAACTATATGTTCCACTGTTATCTTTATCATACGGTTCCATGGCATCACTGGACGGGATGCTACTTTCTTTCATGAAGCTTTGTAAATCGTCTAATTTAATTGGCTGATTCTGGTTCCTTGCAGTCCATTGATTATATTTAGTTTTTAATTCTGTAACGATGGTCATAATTATTTAAACAATTGACATGATATGTCAATGAATTGGTGTAGTGATATATCAAGCCCTCAAATGATCTTCAAATATCGGTTTCCCCCCAAGGGTTCTTTTACGTGCACCCCAACGTGTACACAGGAACTTTATTTTTTTGTCCCATCCAAACAACTAGACAATGTTCCCTGCCAGATCCTCCCTGCTGCACCTCTGACAAGGGAAACCACATGAAATACATACATATATAAGAGAGCCTGCTCCTTGCCATGTACAACCAGGGAATCGAAACCACGTCAGTTAATTCAATGACAGACCTTATGATGCAGCACGTACACGCTAACCATTCGGCCATTCAACCCCCCAACATACATAAGAGACTTAAAGATACATTATGGGAGATTATATAAAGAGTTGGCAGTTCTCGCTATAATAGTTAAAAGATAGGTTGCCAGGCAACGAAACATACGCCCACAGCGGCTAAATCGTCCGGGCAGTCAACAAGAGTTGTCGCATATTTTTACTTTTTTCGGTAATGAAACATTTATAATTCACTAAAATCTGATTAAGAGCAACAACTCAGAAAACCATTAGAATTTGTTTTGGTTTTTATAAAGTTCTGCCCCATGTATACAAAACTTTTAATACTGTATCATGAATTCAGCTGTTCCAAGTCATAAAAATTCATTGAAAATCAATATACTTGTTCGTCTCAAGATCTTAAACTCTGTGTATCAATCTGCAGTCAATCGGATATATACTTTGGCCTCTAGAGCGTCCACAAGATTTTTCAAAGTGATCAAGGGCCATAACTTTGCCAGTAATTAACAGAAATCTTTGAAAATCAATAGGATTCTTCACCTCGTGACCTCAAACACTGTGTATAAATTTAAAGTCAATCAGATATTAACTTTAGCCTTTAGAGCATCCACAAGGTTTTTTGAAGTGATCAAGGGCCATAACTCTGGCAGTAATTATCGAAAATCACTGAAAATGAATAGACTTCTTCGTCTCATGACCTTAAACACTGTGTATAAATTTAAAGTCAATCGGATATTAATTTTCGTCCACAAGATTTTTTGAAGTGGTCAAGGGCCATAACTCTGGCAGTAATTATCGGAAATCGCTGAAAATCAATAGGCTTCCTAGACTCAAGACCTTAAACACTGTGTATAACTTTAAAGTCAATCGAATATTAACTTTGGCCTCTAGAGCGTCCACAAGATTCTTTGAAGTGGTCAAGGGCCATAACTCTGGCAGTAATTATCGGAAATAGCTGAAAATCAATAGGATTCTTCGTCTCATGGCCTTAAGCACTGTATATAAATTTAAAGTCAATCGGATATTAACTTTAGCCTCTAGAGCGTCCACAAGGAATTGTGGACGCCGGATGGACGGGGGCGACGACAATATACGACCATATTTCAATGTAGGCGTATAAAAATAGATAACGTAAAGAGAACAAGCCAACAGTGAGGCTGATGTCCCCCCGCCAAAATCCCCAAATAAATAGATGACACATACTAATTAATCGCACATCTAGTTTTTTCAAAAGTATCAAGCAATCAAACTGATTATCAACTATACACTAAATTTCATCAGTCTCTATCAGATAGAATCAAAGTTATCTTGTCCCAAAGCATCGACCAAGGAACTTGCTTATCTCTGCTTAGCTTTAGCTCGATATGTTAATCATTGAACTCAGTCAAGATGAACATCTACATCAAGTTTAAACATTCTACCTCAATTAGAAGGAGAGTTGTTATGTTCCAAAGTCTTGACCAATCAAAATGCTTATTGACCTTAGCCTAAGCAGACAATTCTCATCATCAAACTTAGTCAAGGTATTGATGTAATGAAACTATACACCAAGTTTCATCACTCTCACTTAATTAGAACTAAAGTTATCGTGTTCCAAAGTCTCGGACAATCAAATTGCTTATCACTCTGCTTACCCTGAGCAGAAAATGCTCCTTATCGAACTTAGTCAAGGTATTGATGTAATGAAACTATACACCAAGTTTCATCACTCTCACTTAATTGGAACTAAAGTTATCGTGTCCCAAAGCATCAACCAATTAATTTGCTTATCTCTACTTACCCTAAGCAGAAAATGCTCATCCTCACACTCCATCAAGGCATTGACCTAATAAACACCTACACCAAGTTTGAACATTTTAGCTCAATTAGAAGGAGAGTTATTGTGTTCCAAAGTCACGGCCAATCAAATTGCTTATCGCTCTTACCCTGAGCAGAAAATGCTCATCATCGAACTTAGTCAAGGTATTGATGTAATGAAACTATACACCAAGTTTCATCACTCTCACTTAATTAGAACTAAATGTAATCGTGTCCCAAAGCATCAACCAATCAAATTGCTTATCTCTGCTTACCCTAAGCAGAAAATGCTCATCTTCACACTCCATCAAGGCATTGACCTAATAAACACCTACACCAAGTTTGAACATTCTAGGTCAATTAAAAGGAGAGTTATTGTGTCCCAAAAAGTGTGACGGACAGACAGAAAGACGGACAGATAGACAAGACGGACGAACCCATTTTAATAGTCCCCTGCTTTCTTCGAAAAGCGGGGGATAAAAATGTGAAAATTTCAGTCAAATTGCTCCACTCTGAACCCAGACATAAAACAAAGTCTCGATTATCCATTTTTACGTTTAATTATCCTTCACAAAATATATTCCAACCCGCTAAATATCGCAGGCTAGCGATGACATCGAGAGTTGAATATGGTCTGGCTAAGTTAATTAATGTCTAATTAATAATTTAGATAACATTTCAGGCCTGAAGAAAGACCCACGATAGGCAGATTTAGATATTGCATAATGTATGTTTAATGTAACAATGGTGGAGATATAATATAATGTTTGTAATTATTTAAATAAAATAATAATAATTGTTTTCTGTAGCACTGAACATTTAGTCAGTCTGTGATGCTTTAAAGTCAAACTTACCATCATAAGTTGTAATATTGGGAATTTTGATCAGTTTGGAAGATTCTGAAGAAAAAAACCCAGTATATATGTATATTTTACTATCTTCTTTGATTGGCATTTAGTAATTTAACATATTAACATAAGGTACAAATTATATGGATACACAATTACTGAGTTTAATACTAAGCGACGTTCCAAGGAGGATACTGTCGTCTTTATCATCATTTGCTTGATAAAGAGGAGAGTATCCTCGTCGAAATGTCGCTTATTATTAAACTCAGTAATTGTATATCCATAAAAATTGTACCCAAGTTATATTATACTATTATTTTTGCACACATGCACAAAGAAAATTAAAAAAAGGTGATAATTTGGAAGAAAATGAGATAGATTCCAAAACCTTTTCTAATCAGAGGCTAAAACATCAGTTAATCCTCCTTGTCACACACAAACCAGGCCGTTAAACAGGCCTAATTAAAGATACATTATGGAAGATTAGTTAAAAACTAGATAATGTAAAGGGAATTTGCTGAAAATTTCTATCAAATTGATCCACTATGAACCGAGAATTGAGCGATTGAAAGTTCCACCTAGCCTCGATCATCATTACTAAAGTCAGTACGATAAAAAGCATAGTCTAGATTATCCATTTATTGATTTAATCATGAAGGGAAATTATGCAGTAAATCGGGTCATAATCCACTAAAGGTCGCAGGCTAGCGATGCCATCGAGAGTTGATTATGGTAAGGATAGTTAATTAATTTCTAATTGATAATTTAGATAACATTTCAGGCCTAAAGAAAGACCTGCAATAGGCAGATTTAGCTCTTGCATAATGTATGATTAATATGGAATTGTTTATTAAACAGTAAAATAAAAAAAATGCTCGTGCAGGTATGAAAGTAAAATTGAGTTTAATGTCCACTCAACGCAAACTAACCCATTTTAAGAATAATAGATGGCACAATTTTATTTCAATAATTCACTTGAACACTAGCAATGGTTAATGAGATGATAATGTTCTTAACCACTGCTTCAGGAATATGTTAAAGAGAGAGAGAAATGTGGTGTAACAACCACTCGACACAAACTAGGTCATTTCGGGAATAACACATGGTTTAATTTTATTTTAATAATTCGCTTGCGCGTAGGGGTCTTTAGCAGTGGGAGGAAAGCAGAGGACCCAGAGAAAACCCACGAGGTTGCACAGGCGACCCTACCCCTTGTCAGGTAAAACTGGGGAATTGAAACCACGCCAGTTGTCTCAATGACAGACCCTCTGATACAACATACACGCGCTAACCATTCGGCCATCGAACCACCATTCAGTTTGAGATTTACTATTAGACATTGGAGTATGGTGTACCTGTTGTAGATAATGGTATTGTAGACGTAACTGGAGTTGTTATAGGACTGGATAATGTTGCTGTGCTTAGACTAGAACTACTAGTAATATCTATAAATAACACACAAGTACATTGACAATAACATAAAACAACTGAAGATTTAATCTATAAAGAAATCAAAATAAAAGATATGTATCATGCAAACTGTTGACAACATCTAAACACAATCTAATTAAAATTTAATCTCATTAAAACACAGATCCTATTTCGTTTCGTTTATGACATGAAATACCGAAAAGTATAAAATAAAAGTTTAAGTCAAATTTTAATTAGATTGCATGTAACTGAATGTTGTGATTTAAAATAAAGCTATAAAATATTCTAGCGTGAAAATAAACTAATAAAAAGGTATAATGAATATATAAAGGTATCAAGAAAGGTAAAACTGTAGGTTCACATAATCAATAACATATACTTCATACAATGGAAATAACATTCAATACATGAGAACAGTGGAATCTTTGGAAACAGCTATTTGGGTCAACCAAATACCCCTGGTCAGTCAACATTTTTTTAGACAAACAAGATTATGTTGTATTTGGTTAATCAACTCTAAAAAATCTGCTTAATTGTTACGTAAGACAGGGCTCATTTGGTTAACTCATCTGCAACCACCATTTTTCTAAAATTTTACCAGAGCCACCCAAGTACTGATTTTATCAATCAAAATAATATGGTGTTTGGGTGACTAACTCAAAGGAACTAATTTATGAAATTAAACATTTTGCTTTGTTGTATTTACAGTAATAATCTAAACATTTTGTACACCCCTTTTAGGGTATTTACAGTAATAACTACAGCAAAGGGGAGATAATCTAGGGTCACTTACTATCTTTGGCACCCAGATATTGTTTTATTCCTTCTACTGTTTTATCAACTCTGTGTAGTTTATTTGTATTATTGGTTAATTTATTAAACAGTTGATCTACTTCTTTGTTCATTTTAACAACAGTTACATTTAAACTCTGAAAAAAAAAAAAAAAAAAAAAATACAAATAACCACATACTATTCCAGAGAGAGAGAGAAATGGGGTTCAAAATATGGAAAATAAAGAGTCATTTTGTTCAAATATTTTACCACAGTAACAGAAAGTAACTCTAAAAAATTTGAAAGAATTAAAAAATGTGCAATATGCTCATTTATCAAGTATGTTACCACACCTAGTATGAGAGAGAGAGAGAGAGAGAGAGAGAGAGGATTTAATGTCCAAACGACATAAACTAGATCATTTCGGGACTAACATATAATATGGTACAATTTTTTTTCAATAATTCGATTGCATTTAGCAGTGGGAGAAAACCGGCAGACCTGGAGAAACCCCTATTCCACACCTCGTACCCAGTTACTTGACTCAATAACAGACCTTATGATTTTAAGCACATGTGTTAGACCACTCAACTACTCTAACCCCTGTAAAATAAAGATTAAATTACCTGTATAGATGATGTTGTCTGAGTTCTCAGTTCATCTATAGTATGGTTTATATTATAAAACATGGAATGATCTGTCTGTAGCTACAATCATACCAAATCATTCAAACATATATCATACCATATTATTTAAACATATATCATACCAAATTATCCCAACATATATCATACCAAATTATTCATACCATTTATCATACCAAATATAACATACCATATTATTCAAAAATATAAAGCATACCAAATTAATAGTTACATTAACTTGCCTTCTGTCAGTCATACAAAATCAAATCAAACCCACCACTGCGCAAAAGGTACAGTCCTTACTGTCAGGGTCAAATTGAGTTTGCGTGGGGCCCCTGGCTGAAAATGTCACTGAGGCCCTTGCGTCAACAAAAGAAAATGGTGCATTTCCCTTGGTTGCCATACTGTAGCTGCGAAACTCTGATGCCTCGCCCCATCCCTCCTGTCAAACACTATTGTAACATACGATATAATTATTTAGGGTACAAATTGTTTTTTGTAGAATTAATTTGGGGCCCCTGGCTGCAGCCCTGATAGCCTCCTCCCCCACCCCCCTTTAATCCAGTCCTACTTACTGTGGTATGATAATGTAATTACTTATAAAAAAGGAGTGAAAATAAACCGTAAGGACAGTATAGTAATGTATGTTACCTGAGAAAGATTAGACTGTAAATTATAAACAAGGGCTGTAAGATTGGACAATGATCCAACTCCACCTGTTCCATTAATATCTTTATCTTTTACCTAATAAATATTAACATTAATAGTAAATAAAATGAAATGGAGTTTATCATCCTACTCGGTTAATAACACTGGGCATACCCCATTGCATGTGCATTGAGGGAAATTTTGCCTGAACAGCAATGCTATGACCTACTCTAAGAACTCTTATCTTGAATTCCACCTATCAAGTGTTCTTTTAGAAACTGTTCCTTGCAGGGTCCTGTGACCAGCACCAGTGAAGAAGAGGTACTTTCTCTTCCTAGATTGGGATCTAACCCCAGATCTCCTGGTTAGAGTGCTATTAAACATACATTATGCAAGAGCTAAATCTGCCTATTGCAGGTCTTTCTTTAGGCCTAAATTATTAATTAGACATTAATTAACCTATCCAGACCATAATCAACTCTAGATGGCATCGCTAGCCTGCGATCTTTAGTGGATTGTGAGCCGATTTACTGCATAACTTTCCTTTACGATTTAACGATTAAATGGATAATCAAGACTATGCTGTTTATCAAACTGACTTTAGTAATGACGATCAAGGCTAGGTGGAAATTCAATCGCTTTGTTCTCGGTTCATAGTGGATCAATTTGAATGAAATTTTCAGCAAATTGCCTTTACATTATCTAGTTTTTAACTATTATAGTGAGAACTGCCAACTCGTTATCGAATCTCACATAATGTATCTTTAACATTAATAAGTGAATAGAGAGAGAGAGAGAGATGGGGTTTAACGTCCACTCGACACAAACTAGGTCATTTCGGGACTAACATATGGTTTAATTTTTTTATTTCAATAATTCGATTGCGCAGTGGGAGGAAACCGGAGTACCCGAAGAAAACCCACGAGGTTGGACAGTCGACCCTACTCCTTGTCACGTACAACCGGGGAATCGAAACCCCGCCAGTGCTAACCATTCGGCCATCCAACCCCCCAATAAGTGAATAAAACCCCCAGATAATATATGAAATCAAATGAAATGCGGTTTAATGTCCTACTGTTCTGCCCTGAATGGAGAGAGAGAGAGAAATGGGGTTTAACGTCCACTCGACACAAACTAGGTCATTTCGGGACTAACATATGGTTTAATTTTATTTACATAATTCGCTTGCACATAGGGGTCTTTAGCAGTGGGAGGAAACCGGAGGACTCGGAGAAAACCCACGAGGTTGGACAGGCGACCATACTCCCTGTCACGTTGCACTGAATGGGCTAAAGAAGATGGGCATACACCATACAGTGGGCTATGAGGAAAATTTGGTCAAGGCAGCATTATTTCCACCTACTGTCATGTAATTTTTTATGTTCAAGTCAAATTCTAAAACATCCAATCTAATTAAAATACAATCTATATTTCGTTTCATTTTTTTTTAATACTTTCGATGGCCTCTACTACATGAAGATCTGACCGGTTGTAGTGGAGGGTCGCATCAGGTCATACAAGCGGCTTTTGATTCTTTAACGTCAGACATTTGCTTAGCCAATCAGTGTTGATGTTTCTAGTGGGTTACCCACAGTTCCATAAACCTCACGCCGAAAACTTTAACATACCGGGAGAAAACCCACGGGGTTGGACAGGCGACCCTACTCCTTGTCACATACAACCAGGGAATCAAAACCAAGCCAGTTGACTCAATGACAGACCTTATGATATAACGTGCACACGCTAACGATTCGGCCATCTACCCCACCACATTTTTGGGGACATTCTGATGATATTTATAACCACAAAGAGCCCAACATATCACAATCGCTGTAACAGATGGTTTCATTGGCTAATCCCTCACATCATCCAGAATACGGGTTATATAACAACTCTTCCTGATCCTAGTGTAGTAAAGACAAATAAAACGAAATTTGAACTATAAAAAACGAAACGAAATAGGATCTGTGTTTTAATCAGATTGTAAAACATCAATCAAAAATTTGAGCTTACCCCATCTTGTATTCGAGTTTCAACAGCTGGTGATGAACTACCTGCGGCTTTAGAATTAATCTCCTGAATTAATTTTAAAGTGGAATTTTCTAATAAACTAACTTTTTGCTGTAAGAAATAAAAACACAAATTAAATATACATTATACAAAAGCTAAATGGCTGAACCGTTCTAATCTACCTAATATCGGAGATATCCGATGGCATCGAGAGTTTATTATGGTGTGGATACGTTAATTAATGTCTAATTAATAGTTTGTATAAAATTTAAGGCCTAAATAAAAATCTGCAAATGATAAATTTGTAAGAAGGTGCAGAAATCTTTTATCCGATTCTGTCAGTAACAGCAAAGTCCAGTAAATAAATACCTACCGTTATAGTTGTGTTTAAATAATCATATTTATGTAGAAGAGTAGTATTCATCTCATCTATGTCATGGCTTAAACTCTCAATTTGCTGAAAAATAAACAGGTACACAACAGTGTCAAAACATAGGTGTCTAATTATTTTTCAATCACAATAGCTTAATTTTTTAATAAACCAGGGACGCCACTGACTTAATGTGTGATCAAGTCCAAATGTAACAATAATTTATTTAGAAAACCGAGAGAGAGAGAGAGAGAGAGAGAGCGAGAGAGCGAGAGATTAAAACACAGATCCTATTACTGCACTAGGTTCTGGAAGAGTTGTTATCATTGACCTGTTCTGGATGCATGGAATTGTGGGTAAACCACTAGAAATGCCAACAATGATTAATTAATCAACCTGGGGTTCAATTGCCGTCAATAATTCGCCTGTGCGTAGGGGTCTTTAGCAGTGGGAGGAAACCGGAGAGCCCGGAGTAAACCCATGATATTGGGCAGTCAACCCTACTCCTTGTACCAGTACAAGTGGAGAATGAAACCTTCTGATGCAACGCGCACACTTTAACCATTCAGCCACCCAACCCCCACCCCGCTTTAGAAAACCAGAGGGATAAATTTACCAATTATACCAAGGTATCAAAGTGTGTATTACCTGTTGTAAATGTGCAATTTCTGGTGTAGAACTTGGATTTGATGTCATACTACTTTCACTTTTCTTGATATCACCTTTATTAGCTGTCTAAATAACCAAACAATATTTTACATTAATCAGAGATCTAGTTCTAAATTATTGTACAGAAATCAAGTAATTATCAGAAATAATTAAAATTTAACTGACTCCTAGTTCATCCTTTTGCTAACGGAGATACATGTAGTTGCAAATCATTAAGCTTCCTTGTCTCATGAACTGTGTATCAGGCTGACCTTAAAAATATCTTTGTTTCGCCTAACGCGACCGACTAACTAAAACCACCCCCGACTTAAATTATTTTATTGCACTTTTCCACGATCTTTTTATTTTATTTTGTGTGTCAACCTGAAATATATCATGAGAGTTATTTCCCTTTACTATGGCTATGGTTTGATTCATTATTGAAACTGGTTGATCAAGACGAAAGCGTCATAGGTGTCGCTTCTCAACAAAATGGTTGCAGACGAATACACGTCCATTCCCACGAAATGATTCTGCCTCTATGTCTGTGGTGCGTAGTTTTAAACATGACGACGATATTTTCAATATCCGTTTTCGAGAAAAATGAAGGCACAACCCGCACTATCGTTAAAAACGTGTTGAAGGAGTTTCACACTTCAAGTTCGTGGCAAATCGTGTGCGAGTCGGGCATCACGAAAAATCCCGATGTCATTGATTTGTTTGCCAATAAAGAAGACGAATGTTTAATAAGTTTAATAAAAACTTTCAGTTCGTTACTTTTTACGTCAGACCCCAAATTCATTAAACAAAATTAATGAATCTGTAGTATACAGCTAATAAGTTTTCTGTATTGATTTCTCTGACTTTAAAAAAAAATCTGAAAAAAAACCCGACCTACCGACCCTTCTCCTCGATTGTGGGTCGGGTTTGGTGAAACAAAGATATTTTTAAGGTCAGCCTCAGTCTCAAATCAATCGGAGGAGCATTCACAGACAAGGGAGCCACGGTGGCTAAGTGGGTAAGACGCTGGTTCGCTAGCCTGGAGGTCGAGAAAGTTCATCTGGATTTTCCGACTTAGTTTCCCCTTGTCAGTAGTGCCTGACAAGGACAGCCGTCTAGTCGTCCGAATGGGACAAAAAAAAAAAACGAGGTAACATGTATACATTGGCATGCATGTAAAAAAATCCCTTGGCAGTTGGAATTTGATATAAGAGTAGACCATAGTGCCGCTGCCCGAGCAAAATTTCCCCATAGGACCTCGGTTTTTCGTCCCATCTGAACGACTAGACAGCTGTTCTTGTCAGCCCCTCCGCCCTGCAATAATCCCTGGAATAGTGCAGGTCAGTATGGATCTCAGTGATACTGTAGAGGCGAATTCTAAAATAATCCCAAGATAAAATCCCCTAGCAACAAAAGACTGTTTTAGAATACGGGTAGATTAAATGACATACCTCTAAACTGGTTAATCTTTTTATTATGTCATCTGTTTTGGCTGTAAGATCTTTTTTCCAATTTTTAAAATCACTTCCATACGCAGCTAATGTCTGAAAAAAAAACCCCCAAAAAACAATGATTTCGAAAAATGGGGTTTAGGAGTGTATTTTCAATATTATTCTCGTTATTTGGAGACGTTTATACAATGAAGGAATTTTTTTTTTCTAGGTGAGGCCAGAAGACCTCATTGATTGTGACATCATTTCTGTATAAGTAGGTGATTACCTTCTGATCCTTCTGAATCAAAATTGTGAATATTCAACAAAAACTAGCAGAAATATGTAGCCCAAAACGTCAACAAATATAGGTTGCCAGGCAACAAAACATAATACGCTTCGTTGTCTCATGACCATAAACACTGTGTATAAATTTAAAGTCAGACATAAACTTAAGCCTCTAGAGCTTCCACAAGATTTTTCAAAGTTATCAAGGGCCATAACTCTTGCAGTAATTATCGGAAATCGGTGAAAATAAATAGGCTTTTTTCTTCGTCTCATGACCTTATACACTGTGCATAAATTTAAAATTAATTGGATATCAACTTTTGAATCTAGAGTGTCCACAAGATTTTCCAAAGTGATGAAGGGCCATAACTCTGGCCGTAATTATCGGAAATTGATGAAAATCAATAGACTTCTTCATCTCCTGGCCTTAAACACTGTGTATTAATTAAAAGTCAATAGGATATTAACTTTAGCTTCTAGTGTCCAAAAGAAATTGGGCGAATAAAAATTGCCTTGCAACAGTAGTGGGGTGGAGGAGGGGTTGCTACAAGGTAGATGGACTACCTTCCATTTATTTTGAAATCCAGGGGAATAATTATTACTTTTATTTAGTCCATAAAGATGCTACTGGAGAGGTAAGGTGTTTCTTGTTTTATTCGAAATAATAATAATTACTTACCCTGGTTAAAGTTTCTATCTCTGAAAGTTTTTCAAGATTTTTAATATTTTCTAAACTTTTCTGTAAATTACTGGATGTATCTATCAATGTCTTGTACTGAAAAATAATTCAACAATTTTGTGTTATTTGTAAAACCTATAAATAAGATTATCCCAATTGATAAATGAGAGAAGCAAAGACTGTCTGATAGTGTACGAGTCAAAAAGAGACTTGCCAAGATCTAGCAAGTTTTACAATACCATCCTGTATAATAATTAATCTGATCAAAACACAGATCCTATTTCATTTCGGGGGATCACGGTGGCTAAGTGGGTAAGGCGCTGGCTCGCTAGCCTGGAGGTCGGGTGTTCGATCCCTGCATTGGCCGAGAAAGTTCATCCAGATTTTCCAGCGTGGTTTCCCCTTGTCAGTGATGCAGGATTAAAACAATATATCAGTCATTTTAAGAGTAAAATAGGGAGGAGAATTTTGCCCAGACAGTGGCATTTCTGCTTACTCTGCATTGAATTCCAACCAAGGGATCTTTTTAAAGGGGCATTATGGGAGATTAGATAAAGAGCTGGCAGTTCTCACTATAATAATAGTTTAAATCTAGATAATGTAAAGGGAATATGCTGAAAATTTCATTCAAATTGCTCCATTTTGAAACGAGATATTAGCAAATGAATTTTAGGCCTAACCTTGATTATCATTATTAAAGTCGGTACGATAACAACAACAGTCTCGATTATCCATTTTTGGATTTAATCATCAATGAGCGTTGAGAAGTGAAAATCCAACACATAAGATGCCATCGAGAGTTGATTAAGATAGTTTCATGTTAATAAATGTCTAATTAATAGTTTATATAGAATTTCAGGCCTAAAGAAAGACCTACAATAGGCAGATTTAGCTCTTGCATAATGTATGTTTAAGTGTGGTCCAAGGTTTACACGGGTAGGCCTCGAACATAAGGCAAAAGCAAATGGAAAAAAATAAATCCAATCCTAAATACACAAATCCAATAAACCAACACCATGAATTATCACAATAATTGACGTAATAAAACATATTTTAATATTAAAAACAATTCAGCTCCTTTAATAAACTTTACCTTTGAATCAAGATTAGTAAGATTGGTCTGTAGTTTGGTATTGTGTAATTTATAGGTTTCTAGTGATTTATTAATGGATGATAAATCTGTCTGTAACTTGACCACATCACCTCCACCTTGTTTATTCTGAGACTCAACTATAATAAAAAATCATAAATACATGGCTTTATACACTGATGGTTAACAGATTAATCTCAATAAAAATAATAATATTTCATGATTAAACCTTTAGCCCTTAGTACATGTATATATATATAAATATTAACTACTTCAGTTCCGAGATAAAAAGAGACAGAGAGATGGGGTTTAACATCCATTCGACACAAACTAGGTCATTTTGGGACTAACTTGTGGCTCAATTTTATTTCAATAATTCGCTTGTGCGTAGGGGTCTTTAGAAGTGGGAGGAAACCGGAGGACCCAGAGAAAACCCATGAGGTTGGGCTGCAGGCCACCCTACTCCTTGTCATGTACAACCGGGAAATTGAAACCACGCCAGTTGACTCAATGACAGACCTTGTAATACAATGCCCACGCGCTAATCATTCGACAATCCCCCTCGCCACCCCCACCCCCACAGTTTCTTGTAGAAAATAAGAAAAAAGTGATATATTAATAACAGTGCATTCCTGAACGGACCAAAACAGTTGATCCTTAAGACTTCAAGGATCAATTTACTTGACAGGGTGGCTGAGTGCTAAAGGATTAAGCATGATCAGAGTGATTATAATTATCCAATCCAATTCATATATCTAATCATTATTTCAACAGTAAGGTTGATGTAGTAAATGCATATATTGTGATTGTTATACAGCTCATGGAGGTAGATAAGTTATAGTTACGTTAATGCCAAGACATTTTTAATACAAAAAACATAAAAAAAAAGACAAACACAAGAAGAGGTTGATATGATATTTATTAATAGTCCATTTAAAAAAAAACAAAAAAAAAAAACAGAGAGAGAGAGAGAGAGAGAGAGAGTTTAAATTCCACGCGACACAAACTAGGTCATTTCGGGACTAACATATGGTTTAATTTTATTTCAATAATTCGCTTCCGCATAGGGGTCTTTAGCAGTGGGAGGAAACCAGAGGACCCGGAGAAAACCCACAAGATTGGACAGACGGCCCTACTCCTGGTCACGTACAGCCGGGGAATCGAAACCACACCAGTTGACTCAATGACAGACTTTATGATACCGCACGCACACGCTAACCAATCGGCCATCCACTCCCCCTTTAGAATAAAAGGGTAATCTGAACACATATAGTAACATTACATATATGAAGATCCCCGGGGGAAGAACGATCCAAGTCACTTTTTCAACGAACCACAGTTAATGGCGTCATCTGGTAGCAAATTGTATAAGCTTTCTGTGCAACAATCAATTTCAGGTAAAAACATCGAACCAAGGCCCTTCTGAAATGGCCTCCCAGACAAATACGTCCATCGTACCCTTTATTTGACCTTAATTTGGCTGAAAAGTGGAAGTCAGTTGTTGTACTTGTAATTATGATTCGTATTAAACATCCTTTTGAAGTTGTAATTAAACCCACTCGTTCTGTTCGGGTCAAGCATTCTCGTCCAAAAAGTCTGTTTTACCTTTTATGTGAAAAGACAAAAATGTGACTTAGATCGTTCTTCCCCTGGACTCTTCATATATATACTCAAAAACAGACTTGTGAGCAAACAGCAAATACTAAAAGATAGTTGAATAAACTAAAATCGAATTACATCTGAATTTTGATCGAGTTACTTGCCATAGAATTCTTACCTCTACATGTTTTCAAGATTTTATTGATCGGGACAAAAAATGTGATATAGAGCAAATTTAAAATTTTTCCTTTTTTCCTTTACATATAATCTTGTCTGTAGTGTTTACAAGGTTTTAGTGATGGCGTAAAATCGAATCGTGACTCAATTTCAAATGAAATGAAATGGGGTTTTACATCCTACTGGGCTAATGAAGAAGGGAAATAAAATGAGATGGGAGTTTAATTTCCTACTGTTCTGCTCCGACTGTGCTAATGAAGCCTCGCATACACCATACAGTGTGCTATGTATGAGGAAAATTTTGACCAGACAGCAGCCCGACGGCCTACTCTTATATCGAATTCCAACTGTCAAGGGATCTTTTACGTGTATGCCAATGTGTAACACAAGACCTCGACTTTCTGTCCCATCCTAACGATTATTCAGTGTCTCTTGTCAGGCCCTCTGTCCTTAACAACTTACAAGGGGGAACCACACCTAGTATGAGAGAGAGAGAGAAATGGGATCAATAATTCGCTTGCATAAATTTAGTGGTCTTCAACAGTGGGAGGAAAACAAAGGACCCGGAGAAAACCCACGAGGTTGGACAGATTTTATTTGTAGAAGCCTTATAAAGAATTATTTGGGCAAACAAGAATAGATTTAAAATCCAACAATTTGAAATTGTTCCTTATAGGTTTATTTTTATTTATTGACTATGTCTGCTCTTCTTTATTAAACAAATACATCAATCATAATACATAATATCAACTATACATCTACTGATCTAGTCATTATTCCATATTGAACATTGTATGATCTTCTTTACAAATATTCCAAGTCTATCACAATTACTATTGAATTTTGAAGGCTGTGTAAAAATACATGTAGAATATTGATCTTCTCAACAGAAAGATATCTTTGTTCCCTTGTGTTATGCCAGACACGTGCTGCTATGTCTCTTTATAAATGTTTTCTGCATGTAGAGTATTGAATTCAAACTAGAATATGTATTCAATAATTTCAAGTTTGAAATTATACTGGTATGTAATTATCTCTTTTCACAGGATTTCAGTATTCAGTCCTTCAAGTTTAAGGTGCGCTTTCGCTCCATTTCCTCTCTAGGCAACTCAACTTGCCTTCGCTGAAGTCATTAAAGACTCCTGCAAATTAGCTAAATCACTCTCTCGTAAATATTGAGATTAATCAACTACTTTCAGTTTTTGTTTATTTTTAAACTGCATACCTTCGAGTTATCTGTTTCCATGATAATAATTCTGACGCTACCATATTCACCAAATATTAAACAAGACTAAAGCATAAATACAATTTTGACCTCCTTAATTCAAGAAAATGTAGAATTACTATTACAATATAATCAAGTAGAGATTTTTATGGGAGCATTTTTCTCATTTTTGAAATTGGCAGGAGCTTTTTATGGCTCCCGCACAATTTTTTAAACATAAAGGACTAAGCATTTCTTTATATGAATCCATTAATTGACAATCATCACATAATACCAGCATAATATAAGTGTATTCATCAACTGTTTTATTAGAGTAGTATATGGGAGTAAAGTCTGATAATAACTATAAAACACAAATATTATTCTATATGAGGGTAAAATAAGTTTCACATTATATACACTACATGTATGTAGGTGGCATAATATTTACATATTAATAACTACATGTAAGTATTGTAAGTAGGTACCGGTATTCATCAATTAAAACTGTGTTAAAAGTTATAGTTTTCTTATTTCTATCTCAAATTGTGTAAATATTTTAGTATACATGTATAAGGTCCATGGTACATGTAACTGATTTGGACAATTCTTTTAATCACTGTCCTCATCCACCTTTACTATACATGATGAAATGAAATGGAATGGGGTTGAATGTCCCACTGTTCTACTCCGACTGGGCTAATGCCATACAGTGTGCTATAACGAAAATTTTGCCCGGGCAGTGGCACTATGGCCTACTCTTACATCAAATTCCAACTGACAAGAGATCTTTTACATGCACACAAATGTAAACCCAGGACCTCGTTTTTTCATACCATCCGAAAGACTAGACAGCTGTCCTTGTCAGACCCTCTATACATAAGGAAAGGAGCAGTGTACAATTATAATTTATCGTTAGAATATTACACCTGAGTTACTCAAGAACTTACCAGTTAATAATCTTTCTCTAAGATTATCTAAATCTCTTTTTAATTCGAAATGCATCCATATCAGTCCTGCTGACGCTACAATACACGCTACTAACGTGATAAATGCAATCAGGACCAGACATGGTGAACAAGTTCCACAACTGATAAATCTGAAATAGAAGATAATACAATCATTAGTTCATCTAATATTCTCTAATCTCTATTTCAGATAAATGTACTAATTTTCGCTTATTTGTAGATACTGAACCAAAAACGGTATTTAAACATATATTATGCAAGAGTTAAATCAGTCTATTGCAGGTCTTTTTTAGCACTGAAATGTTATCTAAATTATTAATAAAACATTGATTAACATGACAAGACCTTAATCAACTCTCGATGCCATCGGATATCTCCGATATTAAGCAGATTAGTGCGTTCAGCCATATTTTGATTTAATTTAAAAATGGAGACGCGAGGCTTAGCTTCGAACAACCAGTCAAACCTTCAAAGGCTAATATCCTCACTCGCAATAGAGTAACTTTTTCAATATATTCATTTTGCATTATCTATTTTCGAACAATGATAGCAAAAATGGCTAAAATCCAGTAAACATCGCAGGCTAGCGATGATATCGAGAGTTGATTATGGTCTGGATAAGTTAATTAATGTCTAATTAATAATTTACATAAAATTTCAGTCCTAAAGAAAGACCTGCAATAGGAATATATTTAACTCTTGCATAATGTATGTTTAAATAAATTATGTTAATGAAAAGACTATAAATAATACTAGCTTGTGATTTTGTGTGCTACAAGTAGACTATGGTAATATTTCATGAATATTCTTGATGGTGTGTAAACATTTGACGCTTGACATTATCAGGCTGTATCACAGAATAGACAGAATGACATTTAGGTAATATTTTCTTGTCATTCGAGAAAAAGATCCCTCTTGATTTATTCAGTTTCGATAACAAACCTAATTGCTGGAATGAATTCTTTAAAAAAATAAAACAAGTTCAATCATATATCAAGTCATTTTGGGACTAACATATGGTACTATCTAATTTCAATAATTTGCTTGATCATAATAATAAATAATAATAATGTACATTTGTAAAGCGCCAAATCCATCCAAACGCATGCTCAAAGCACAATGAGAAAATAGGAGCCTTTAGTAGGGTGACCCATGTACTCACAGAAATACAGTCCACCGCTGATAGTTCGAGACTACCACTGAAGCGTGCACATCTACCACTGAAGCGTGCACATTCGCCGTGCCGAGACCAACTTTCTGACAGTATGATACTATAAATAGCCATGGCACGTGCAATTCTCTACAAATCTATCAACTATTACAGCCGTAAAAATTTATTGTTGACGATTTTGAATAGCAGTAAAATTAAGCTTCTTGGTTATTACAGCAGATTTAGAAATTACGTTCGTTTCATTTTTTAAATCACTTTATCATTAACTGTACCGTTAAGAGCGGCATCTTTTGGTTTAGTACAAATAATATCTCTGAATCACTCGGGTTAGACAGGAACATGATACTAGTAGTAGTTTCATTTTACTTTTACAAGCTTCTTAAACGATTGTTGAGCTACCTAACGTGCTTATTTCTAAATTCAATTTCTTGTTCTAGCTTTCTGTTATGTTTCGTAAAAAAGTAGTCTTGATTATCCCGACCTGTCAATCAGGCGTAGAATGGTCTATAGACTGGTTAAGCAAGACTAATTTCAAAACAAGGGCACGTAACCTATCTTTTACTCAAAAGTGTCTGGATGTTATGGACGACTCTTGGAACCAGTTTTCAGTCTATTATTTATACGTGATTAATGGTCATAGCTTATTAAGTACAACATGATCGTTTATTTAGTGACTATAATTGTGTGAAACTGATTTGAGGCTTGGCATATATATAAATATTGTGGTGTAATTGTCGAGATATATGGAGATATTTATTTATGGTGGGTCACCCTACCTTTAGCAGTGGGAGAAAACTGGAGGACCCAGAGAAAACCCACATGGTTACGAAAGCGTAGAAAAGAAATGAAATGTAACCAGCCACTCAATGACATTGATTGGGAGCACACACCATGGAAGAGAACACAAGGGGATATTAACCATGTATGGTGCTAGCAGGGTACCAACTGAATAAAATTATTTTCATTATAAAACCGTTGTACATGTATATGATGTGCTAGTGGTTATTATTCAGAAAGTGTAGGCTGGTTGTATTAGTGTCCACATGAGATCAATAATTCTTAATAAATAATATAATAAAAATAACCTCAAAAGTATTGTGATTTATCATTAAAAAAAACCTAATCAATAATTCAATCTGTTAGAAGTTAACAACTACAACAACATAACATGTTTAATTCAATTAGCTATTCTGTGTCAGATGGAGAACAAAAAACAATCAATCTTTAATGTTTCTTTTTGTATGACTGTACCATAGAAATGAGAGAGAGAGAGAGAGAGAGTAAGAGAGAGAGGGAGAGAGAGAGGGAGAGAGAGAGAGAGACACACACACAAACTAGGTCATTTCGGGACTAACACATGGTTCAATTATATTTTAATAATTTTCTTGTGTGTAGGGGTCTTTAGTAGTGGGAGGAAACCAGAGGACCCGCAGAAACCCACAAGGTTGGGCAGGCGATCTTACTCCTTGTCATGTACAACCATGCCAGTTGACTCCATGACAGACCTTATGATACAGCATGCACACGCTAATCATTCGGCCCTCCCCATCATAGAAATGTCTAGATATACTATACTTGTCAGTCCCATTGTCAGGGCCAAAGGGGAGCTACGGTGGGTAAGATGTAGCTCTCTAGCCTGGAGGCTGCATGTTCGATCCCTGCATTAGCCGAGACATTTCTTACACGGGTCCTCGTTTTTTATTTGTCTCATTCGAACGACTAAACAGCTGTCCTTTTCAGGCCCTCCATCCTGCACCACTGAGAAGAGGAAACCATGCCGGAAAATCCCAATGAATTTTCTTGGTCAACATCGGGAGTGAACTCGCTAGCCTTGAGTTCCTACCATTTAGCCACAATAATGTAGACAGGCATAACAATTAAGCAGAAACTCACATGACAAACATGAATAATGAGAGGACTCCGTTTTACTTCTCTATTTTCTATTTTTAGAAAAAAAAAACTTTCATTTTAATTTTCAGCATGACTACTGTATTATATTGTAAAAGCCTGATGAATAATATTAGGGTGTAGTGACATTTACTATTACCTTGATGAGTGCAAAAAATTCTCAACATGATTAAGGAAACTCAACCTGAAGTGCGTCATAATATTTAAAAGAGATTTCTTTTTTGCTGATCATTAAAAAGAGAGAGAGATCTCAGAGAAAGAGAGAGAGAGAGAGAGAGAGAGAGGGGGAGCTTCAGTTTACTAGTGGGATGATATCAGAGGATTCGGATAAAACCCATGAGGTTGGACAGGCCTTATGATGTAAAGCACAAGCCTTAGACTATTCATCCACTCAATACCCAAAGAACAAAAGATTTAATTTGACAAGATATATGTACATGTACCACTATATTAATTTATATTCCTTAATATATTTCTGATCAATCTATTAATCTTTATAGGTAACGGATTCAAATAGAGTTTAATGAAATGAAATGAAATGGGGTTTAACGTTAGCTTAATGGGGTATTATGGGAGATTATATAAAGAGCTGACAGTTTTCGCTATAATATTTTAAAAAAATAGATAAGGTAAATAGAATGTGCTGAAAGGTTCAGTCCAATTTCTCCACTCGGAACCGAGATATTAGCTTTTGAATTTTAGGCTAACCTCAATCATCATTACTAAAGTCGGTACGATAAAAAACCAAGTCTTGATTATCAATTCTTACGTTTAATAATTTTTTTTCAAAAATTGCATTCCAATCCGCTAAATATAGCAGGCTATGTAAGCGATGGCATCATAAGTTGATTATGGTCTGGATAAGTTAATTAATGTCTGATTAATAATTTAGATAATATTTCAGGCCTAAAGAAAGACCTGCAATAGGCAGGTTTAGCTCTTGCATAATGTATGTTTAATGTCTCATCAAAACAATTGAGACATTTGAGACATACATGTATAGTGTTATTAGTGTTATTTCTATGGATTCACGTACAATGCAGGAGGAGGTGAATTGTGCCAGCTGTAAAATTTTGCCTACTCTAAAACTCTTCTTTAATTTCCAACAGTCACATATTCTTTAATTAACATGCATGCCTATGTGAATGAACCTCAGGTTTTTGTCAGATCCAATTGGCACATCTGATAAAACGGACATCAGGATTAACAAATCCCAAATAACCAAGTTCAAAGCATGTTTGGAGGAAATAAAAATCTTACAAGCTAAAAAAAAAACCCCAAAACAAATTAAAACAGTGAAAGATGAGTATTCACTGTCTGTGCATTGTGCATTTATATTGACAGCCTGTCACCATGACAACACTTGGAAACAGACCTGCGTTTAGTGCATTCAGTGATGTCACATTACTAGCGATGTCTATGGAAGCATGACATCTTTTGAATATGCTTAACGGGTAGCCTGTTGCTGAATATGTTTTTTATAAATTTGATAACTATATACATGTTAAGATTAATGATAGTATTAATACTGTATTAATACTAGAGAACTTATATAGGCCTTTGCCTGTTGTTCAATCCATTTCAGTTTATTGAATAAAATATTGTTTAAACTAATACTGTATATTGTTCTTTAATAGTGTTTATATGTAGGCCTACCTATATGGTTATAATACTACCATTTGCAGTTGTCTTAAACATGTGCAAATAACAATATTCATGTAAAATAATTGATCATTTATCTTCTCATCGAATTACAAAGTTACTAATGTGTCGGGAGGTAATGCTCTATGTGGTGGTTTCTTCTGATCTGGCTTAAAGTCCAAACAATCTCTGCCAGTGACCGATATGATATATGTATTAACAGAACACAATTTTAATGGGAAACAATCACTGTTTTATTCTAAAGGCACGACGTTATCATTATCAAGCACAATGACACATTTAGTAAACTTGAGTTGAATATATATGAAGCCATTTACAGAGTTCAAATAACAATAACGTTGTGCTTTTAGAATAAAACCAGTGATTGTTTCCCATAAAAATTGTCAGTGACCGATATAATACATGTATTTAGCCTAATGTTGTTCCAAGTTAGATATTTTTTTTTTCACAACTTATCACTGAGGGTGATAGAAATTTATCACTACAAACACGACAAAATAAACAATCATAAAAATATGTGCCTATTGTTAATATGTGTCTCTTGGTTAGAAAATCAGACTATCTGTTCTTTATTTATATAATCCCTTATTTCTAAAAGACATGAGGTACATCTATTACGAAATATCACAAGAAGAAAATCAGAAATAACCTGCATGTATTTCTCATGGCTCACAAGCAATAATTCAAGATAATGTTTAATAAAAATATGTTAATGAATCTAAGAAAGATATTTTAAAATGAACAATAAAAGGCTATTACCTGCAACCACCTTTCTTTCCAAATGGGCTTGAAAATTCTTCAATTTCTGAGGAATCGGAATCATTTGATCTCAGAAGTTCATGGCCACTTTTACTTTTTCGTCTGGGTAGTTTGCCATTGCTAACCAGGGCGTCCAGTTGTCGCCGTTTCTTCATCCTTTTACCAGGTTTAAAATCGACATCGACTTTAGTTGTCGGATCCAGCTTGATGACTTTTACAAATTACTCTTCGGCATCAAAAGAGTGAAGAAGACCGGATAAGATATCCTCTAAAACATCCCAAGAAGACGACCAAATTCCGTCATATCACAGAACCGGAAGTGGCAAAACGATGACGCGAGCGGCTAAAAAATCGATCGAAGTAAGTAATCCATTCGAACACGTTATCGATCGACTCGGTAATTAGTGAAAAATCATCAGTCTTCGTGTTACTTGTACACAGAATAATAACACTTGATGGAAACGACACCGGAATGTGCTGACTCAAATAAATTGTCTGATTTTATGATTTTGACAGGTGATAAATTGGAGTTCCCTCCCTTGGAGCACCGGCAAACTTCTTACCGTAAACCTTCTTATAGTCGATCTTTTTTCTTGTTTTACTCCAATATAATAAAATCATTTGAAGTTTTCATCGAGCCAACAGCTAAATTAAACTGGATATAGCCAATTAAAGAGGCATTTTGACTCTCACAGTGAGAATAAAATATGTACTTAATTTGGAATATTATCATTATCATTTCATAATGAACTAGAATCATACATATCCTCTCTACATTAGCCCAGTCAGAGCAGAACAGAAGGATGTTAAACCCCATTTCATTTCAGAATCATACACGTAATCTTCAAAATCCAAGCATATGGGGCCTATTGAAAGTAAGAAATTTTCACTAGAGCTCTAAAATTCTTGAAAACAACTAAATCATTTGTAGAACTTCTAAATTGAAAGTTAAAACAGGTATAACTCATCAATGGGGGATGGCTGATTCAGTCACATACATGTATTCCGAGTGTATTTTTTCAACAGACAAAGCTCTCCAAAGTGCTAAGTAAAAATTATCATTTTGTTCCAGTCTACTCAGGATTAAAAATGTCCATTTTCCAATTTTATTGAATCATCGAGCGTTGGCCAGTGATATTATTAAAATTGAAACAATGAATTTATTCTAATAATTATTCAAAGTTTAATTAATGATTCCATTCAGGCAATAAACCCATTGACATAATTTCTTTCTGTTTACACTCCCTAACAATTTGAAATGTCCGTTTTGAAAAACAGTATATTTTCTAACTGTAAGTTATCGGAGACAAGCAATGCAAAATATGTAGAGAACATGCCCCAGATTCATGTAGAAGGACAGAAAAGGTAGGTGACTTCACTGCCATGCTGATCAAGTTCCTCACACAGGGACAGAAAACAGAATCTTGTCATTACATGGTGTAAAATGATCTCCTCAGTCCTAGTAATTCATAACACCCTGTTTTAATATGATCTGGAGTGCAGTAAGTTTTTTTCTAATTTCTAGGGAATTAATTTATTTACACCAACCGAACTGTAGGCCTACATACATGTACTTTAGGCTGTGCAGTTAATTCTCTGATAATTCAATGCAGTATTTAATGTACATGTAGTTACTTGAGTAACAGATTCTTATTGGCCCTACCCTCTATCCGTTACTGCCTGGCCCTATACACATCTAATATGAAAATAAGGCTTTCCTCCACCTCGGTTCTAAGGCTATTTTAGAATTCTTTTTACTGGCTATTTACCACCGTGATTCTTCTTTATTCGCCAAAGGGGATCATTTCTTGCCACATCCGACACAAATTTATAATAATCCAAGCCTTATTTTCATATTAGATGAGTATATATAGGGCCAGGCAGGAACGGATAGAGGGCAGAGCCGATAAAAATCTTGTTACTAAAGTAACTATATTTAATGGTGCATTTAACAAGGAACATCTCATAGGTTTTCATATAATTTAAGGGTAGCCTATTTCCTTTAGAGTGGAGTATTATGTTCTAATTTATACCAAAATATATACAATGTTATGTCTTACCCAAATCCAAGTGATTTTTCAATTCTGTCACTTGTCTCATTAGCCAGACAGACAAAACACCAAGTACAGAAACAGAAGCCAACAGAAATAATACTACTACTATTTTTAAAAATGTCCCAACAGAACAATGAGAAACGATGATTTCATCTGATGGAGTTTTAAATGGCAGACCTCTGCTCTTCCTATAAAAATAACAAAACATTATTTACAAATTGCAGTCAACAATCTTTTGGACAACCAATCATTTAAATTTAATTAAGAGCCTACAATTTTATAATAAAATAAACTCTACATGAATTTAATGACCACAGAATGTCTTTATTAATTTACTTTTTCAAAGTTAAGATACTGGTGATAAGATAAAGAGCTGGTAGTTCTCACTATAATAGTTAAAAACTAGATAATGTAAAGGCAATTTGCTGAAAATTTCAGTCAAATTGATCCACTATGAACCGAGAATTAAGCGATTGAAATTTCGGCCTAGCCTCGATCATCATTACTAAAGTCTGTACGATAAAAAAACAGTCTCGATCATCCATTTCATGATTAAATTATGAAAGTCGAGCAGCAAATGGGATCATAATCCAGTAAATATCGCAGGCTAGCGATGCCATCGAGAGTTGATTATGGTCTGGATAAGTTAATTTTAAAAAGTCTAATTAATAATTTAGATAACATTTCAGGCCTAAAGAAAGACCTGCAATAGGCAGATTTAGCTCTTGCACAATGTATGTTTAGTAAATGTTGTTTCAAATTGTGTATCTGTAAATAAAGCTAACACGTATGGGTTGAGTGTTCAACTGAAAACTTTTCCTATGGTTGTTACATGTATTTGAAAGAGAGCTTTTAATATAAGCTTACATATTTCATTTGATTGATGTGACAGTTAGAGAATTGGGGTTCAATAGTTTTGAGACTAACGTAATATGGTAATTTTTAAATTTATTAGTGCGTAGAGATCTTTAGGGAGGACCCTACTTCTTGCCATGCACAAGCCAAGGATCAGACAATGCCACTTGACTCCATGACAGACCTCTGATCAAATGCACACACATTAGACCACCTGGCTACTGCACCCCCTCCTTTATGGAATGTGAATGGTTTAACATAGTAAACAAGTTACCAGATCAGCTTATTGATTAATAGTGAGAAATGTGACTGACAACAACGACTATATTGTGAGTACCTGGTACTCTAAAAAGTTTTATATGCTTAAATTTCTGTAGAGTTTTGCTTGTACCCAACAATCTATATAATATATTAATGAAAAGAACTGTAAGTAGTGTAAGTTTATAATTTTGCAATAGGAAAATTCTCTGGCAGACTAGGCCTATTATTATTATTATTTAACCAAATCGGCAACATTTTCTTTTGAGTGACACCCCAAAGTATTTGATAATGTAGATCATCTGATTTTTAGTGTAGTAAGATAAAAAAAACAACAACATTGTTTTATATCTTGATTTTAAAATAATGTTTGTCTGGATCCTGGAATCTCACAATTTACTTAAATATTTTCCCTAGAATAAATTTTACAATCAAATCTAAATACAGATACACAGTAGACAATATAGATATAATAAATAAAAGTAGCCTATATGTATTACCAAATTATCTCAATTGGATTAGAACTGGAAGTGTGTTTACGGTAAATCAATACGTCAACTATACATCTTCAGAAAGTTTATTTGCCTTTTTCTAGGCAACAATAGTTTATTTATGACATTTAAATTTAGTTGCTTTTAAAATAAATATTATTACTATAATAATATAGGCCTACCGTTATTCAATAAAAATATTAAAAAGCGTGAAAAATTCCTTACTTTCTTGATTTTTTCGATTTGTTTAGTGGCGGAAGTTTCAGGTCTGGGGGATCGCTGTCAGATTCCGAGTACAATAAGTTTACATAATCTTGATTAGTTGTTCTTCCGTTTTTCGGCTTCATTGTCACTATATAAACAATCACTTTAAACTAAGTTGTGTACCGTTAATTATCGATTTTCACATTTTTATTATGAGACGAACTTTTAACACATGATTTCTTCGCTGAAGAAGTTTTCGTTGTGACGTCTATTTCTTGGGATCATTTATTTAATTTTTGAATTCTGTTTTTTAGAATTCATAAACGAGAAATATGAATATAATTTTTGTCATTTCCGTTCACTATAAACGAGTTTGTCGCAATTATTACAATAAGTCTTAGTCGACTTTTATTGTAATATGCTTTTTATTATATTTAGAATTCGGTTTTAACAGAGTTCTCCAAATAAACGATTGCAGCGCCAAATCAAGAACGACAATCAACATAAATCGCATTCAAAGGATAACGTTGAAAGTAATTTATGTGAAAATAAAACATTAAATTCATTATAAAGTTTTCTATTTTAATTTCGGAAATCATCGGCTCACAATTTTAAAACCCCTTGGGCTTAGTCGATAAATATTACTGTTTTTTCGTAGTGGTTTTGGGGAGTTGGATTATACTACTGTTTGATGGATGACCGAATGGTTAGCACGTGTGCGCTGTATCATAAAGTCGGTCACTGAGCTAACTGGCTTGGTTTTGATTGCTCAGTTGTACTTGACAAGGATATATAGGGTCGCATGTCCAAACTCGTGGGATTTCTCCGCCCCCCCCCCCACACTGCTAAAGACCCTAACGCACAAGTGAATTGTTGAAATAAAATTGAACCATGTCAGTCCCGAAACAGGCCCTCCCGAAAAAAAAGTTGCCGACCGTAGCACTAAAATACCTACTGTAGACTGTGCCCCCTCTAAAACCTTCACTGCCCCTCTTCAGCCAGCATGCTGGCTACGGGCCTGTCCAGAAATGACCTGGTTTGTGTTGAGTGCACGTTAAACCCCATTTCTCTCTCTCTGTGGTTTTAATAACCACATGCCATAAATAGTGAAAAAGAAGAGTTGCCAAACCTATAGCAGGTATAGCCTACCGGTATTTTAAATTTTATTTTTAATCAAATTTTAATAACCTTGCTGGACCAAGTTATCTGTCAACATATTTATGACTGGAACTTTTCGGCAAACCTTAATCTGTGGGAAATGTCGACTTCAGCTCAAAGGTTAATATTCATTGAACTGCTTTATTTACTGTGTCTTTAGTACTGAGGTTCGATCCCTGCAATGGCCGAGAAAGTTCATCCAGATTTTTCCTGCGTGGTTCCCCCTTGTCAGTAAGGACAGCTGTCTAGTCATTCGGATGAAACGAAAAACCGAGGTCCCGTGTAGGCCTACACATTGGCGTGCACGTAAAAGATCCCTTGAGAGTTGGAATTCGATATAAGAGTAGGCCGTAGCACCGCTGTCTAGGCAAAATTTCCCTCATAGCACACTGTAAGGCGTATGTCCGTCTTCATTAGCCCAGTTCGGAGCAAAACAGTAGGACGTTAGTTAAACCCCATTTCATTTCATTTCATTTAGTACTGAAATGAGTGACAAGTCTTAACAAAGCCCAAGTCCTGCCCATGTCACAAGTTCATCAACTGAGTCAACAATTCATGGCGAATAAGGCAAGTTATGATCTCTCTCCACTTCAAGGTCTTGGCCCACGTGATAAATATTTCAACCCTAGCTCAGGTCCTAGATGCCTGACCGGAGTTCCCACATTTGTCATCATGAGCATTAGCTTGCCACGTGCACCATTCAAATATAGATTTCAATACCCATTGGTTAAGAAACAAATCATTCATAATTAATCATTTAATTTTATCATAAATTTAATATTTCTATGTACAAATATTTTACAGTAACATATGCTGCAACAATTTTTTTTCTCAATTTTATTTTTCACATAATTAACAAATGCTTTAAAAAAATTGTACTAGTACAACCCAAATGAAATGTCATGAGGACGGGTGCTGCTTTCACGTTTGTTACATGCAATTTTCCAAGATTCAAACAACATAAATTTCGAGATTGTTAAGATGAGCACTAAAATTAGATATTATAGTGTAATTTACAATGTAATTCTATTAACAAATAAATAAACATTGTGTATCAATGTAAATAAAGTTTGAACATGAATTTATACTGTCACCTGAATTCCTTCGTTCTATCCAACTCTTAATGTCAACGCTATATACACAACGTTCCGACGTGGTTTCCCCTTGTCAGTGGTGCAGGACGGACACAAGGACAGATGTCTAGTCGTTCAAATTGGACAAAAAAAAAACCTAGGTTCCATTTATACATTGGAGTGCACATAAAATAGATCCCTTTGCAGTTGTAATTCCCTCAAAGCACACTGTATGGCATATGTCTGTCTTCATTAGCCCAGTCAGAGCAGAACAGTAGGACGTTAAAACCCATTTAATTTCATTTTTTTATACACACAATAGTCCTTGGTGGAAGTTTTTAAAACATGGATCATTTGTACCAAAGAAGAAGCACGATTGTAATACTAATATGACGGTAAACATGTTGCATGCCTATTGTGGAGTTATCTTTCTGTTTACATTTTTTACTTAGATTGTGGACAATGATGTTAAAATTCAGCATTGAAGATTTTGTCGCTGGTGGGTGTATAGGGGGCCTTATAAGTCACCATCTATATTTCTATTATGTTTTTCGAGGCTTTGGAGACTGATCCTCAGCAGTAAATAAACGTTTTAAACTTAATATGAAAAATACGAGGTTGGTATTTTCTTAAAATGATTCATTATTAGCGGAGATATATTGTCATTGATAGTAATAATACAGACACGACACATAGAAATAATCAACAATACACCAGGTATGTTCATACTAGGCCAAGTACAAATATAGACATAGTTGAAATAGAAATAAGTCTGTGCTGTTATTAATCAGCCTGTTAACTAAAAATGCATATCAATTTAAAAAATAGACAGGTTAAGCTCCTTTATATAAAAAATATCCCTTGTTTACCTCGTGATTACGTCGTCTAATGAAAACAGAAGTTATTTTGGTAGCTATATGTAACTAACTCATCTGATAACATGTGGGATGTTTTCGGATACAGAAAGCTGTAAATGGCCATAAATATTTTCTGTTTTTACACTCCAAGCATGATTTGAGTTATATGAACCGATAATTCTATAGCTACTTTAAGGCAATATACAGTGGTATTCAGGAGATAAAATAAATAGCCATATTCAAAAGAAAATAAATGTTATTTGATATTTGAATTAACCTTTGGAATAAAACATATTCTCTTGGAAATTATGAATACAAGAAAAGTCAAAAAATCTTATTTAATTTCTCAATGAAAGCACTACTGTCTCCTCAATCTTGTACAAAACAAACTTTGAATTGATTCATCAAAGATTTCTGAAGATAGTCCACCAGGTATAGTTAATAGTAACAAACAAATGTCAATTAGATGTAGATTTAGGGAATCAAACATGTTGCTATATTTCCAAACTCTGATCATTTCATATTTTTCATATGACTGGCTATCATTAGAAATTTAATCACACAGTTCACGATAATTTAATGCCCTGCACATTTTTCTGAACATTGATTAAGTCCTTTTCTTGTTTTAATTTTTCTGCATTAAATGCCACCTTGTTTGTCTTCTTTTCTAATCTTCTCGTCTGTAAAAAATAGCAAAATAAAAATCTTTCAGCACAAAATATCTAAAGAGAGAGAGAGAGAGAAATGGGGTTTAACGTCCACTCGACACAAACTAGGTCATTTCGGGACTAACATATGGTTTAATTTTATTTCAATAATTTGCTTGCGCGTAGGGGTCTTTAGCAGTGGGAGGAAACCGGAGGACCCGGAAAAAACCCACAAGGTTGGACAGGCAACCCTACTCCTTGTCACGTACAACCGGGGATTCAAAACCACGCCAGTTAACTCAATGACAGGCCTCATGATTCAGCGTGCACGTGCTAACCATTCGGCCATCCAACCCCCCAATATCTAAAGAGACAAACATTTCAGTGATTACTTGCTTTCATAAATATTTAAAATACCCACGAGATTGTAAGACGGCTAAATCTATTTGTTAAGGACAGGTCAATTTTTGTCAAGGTCGCTGAGATGTAAATAAGGTTTTGATTGATTTGTTACGCTGTAATGTATTGGTTGTTGACCAGTCCTAATTCGGAACAGAAATTTGCGGTGAGTCCATCAGTGTTTAGTGAGAGTATGCTGGTGTTTTGATTGTGTAAAGAATTGTTACATTCACCGCAAATCTACAAAAGTTCTTACTTTTCTTTCCTCTTTAATGGCTTGTTTTCGCATCTTTTTCTCTTCTAATGTTTCACCTTTAGGTCGATATGTACTTGCTGTATCAGCCCGTCGTGATTCACGCATTTCTTTCTCTATTTGTCTTCTCGTTAAGCCTGGTAAACCAAGACTATCGACAGGAATACCCAGACGTGATGTTAATTTAATTTTACGTTCCTGAAATTTGTAAAATATTCATGATAAATACTTTTCTGCAGCAACTGGGCTAACAAAGATGGGTATGCCAAGGGTTCTTTTACGTGCCCGCCAATGTCTATACAGGACCAGAATTTTTTTGCCCCATTGAAATGACTAAATTCCTTCCATGCTAGGTCCTATGTCCTGTACCAACACCAATGGGAAACCAGACTGGAAAATCTTGACAAAACTTTCTGGGCCAACCCTGGAATCGAACCCTGGGATCTCCTGGTAAATGGGCCAGTAGCATATTCACTGAGACACTTATTATATATATATAGAGAGAAATGGGGTTTAACGTCCACTCGACACAAACTAGGTCATTTCGGGACTAACACATGGTTCAATTTTATTTAAATCATTCGCTTGCGCGTAGGGGTCCTTAGCAGTGGGAGGAAACCGGATGACCCGGAGAAAACCCACGAGGTGGGACAGGCGACCCTACTCCTTGTCACATACAACCGAGGAATCGAAACCCCGCCAGTTGACTCAATGACAGACCGTATGATACAGTGCGCGCGTGCTAAACATTCGGCCATCCAACCCCCCTTTATGATATATACTGATGTCCAAAAGAAAGTATACACACTAAAAGTATAACAAAGTTTTGTTTAGATTAAAAACATTTGATAAAGCATTACTGAGTTTGTCTCTTGCATCCAAACTCAACATTTCAAAGCAAAATAAAAATGTGAAACAAATTGACATTCTACCCAAATACCGTATACCATGGAAAAACGACTTTGGTTGATGCAGCACAAAATGCACAGTGTATACTTTCTTTTGGACATTAGTATATAACATGTAAATATAAATTAGCAGGATCATAACAAGTTGCTACAAACCATATTATTTTTATTTTATGTCATTCAGTTACTTAGTAAAATATTTTGTCTTATTACTGTTTCTTTACCTTATTACTGGGTTCAGAGATGAGCTTTGGATGGTTATATAAATTCGAATAAGTACCTAAAAAATGAATTAACATTATTTATTGACTAGTGAGAAATTTAGTGGATGATCTCCCCTGAACATTAATGAGAGAGAGAGAGAGAGAGAGAGAGAGAGAAAGAGAGAGAGAGAGATGGGGTTTAATGTCCACTTGACACAAACCAGGCAATTTTGGGACTAACATATGGTTCAATTTTATTTCAATAATTCACTTGCATGTAGGGATCTTTAGTTGTGGGAGGAAACCAGAGGACCTGGACAGGCAATCCTACTCCTTGTCACGTACAACCGGGGAATCGAAAACATGCCAGCTGACTCAATGACAGACCTTATGATACAGCACACACCTGCTAACCATTCTACATTCCACCCCCATCCCTTCAGTGAAATAAACAGAAACTGGTTAATTTCTTCTTCCCTTATAACCTTTTTTCTTACAGTGATATAACGAGAATCTCTCTCCAACTGAAATGTATTAATTGTGTGAGAATACTTACTAATGATTGATTCACAGTCCCATTTTTCTTTTGGTTCTTCTATCACCAGATCTATCATATCTTCATCACCAGATTCAATATCATCTTCCGTTATTTTAATCTCAGCTTCATCTATCACTTCTTTTAATTTTCTACATACACAAATATTCAAATGCAATGAAATGACGGTTAGTGCTAAATGATAAGGCCAGCTCAATTTTTCAACATAGGTCATGAAATGTAAACAAGGCTAGCGCTAATCCCAACCCTAACCCTTGACCTAGTCCCAATGCTTACCCTAACCCTAACCTACAATCTCGCCAACAATCACATGCCTAACTTATTTACATCTGGTCTTTACAAATAGATTTAGCCATGAAATGACTACCCTTGTCATTATGGAATTGGCTCTCAAACCCTACTCATCTTCTTGATCTACATGGACAAGATATTACATTTCATTACTCTCTACAAAATTCTAGAAGTCATAGCAATGGTTTGGTTACTTTTTACCATAACTTTTGTTACTGGAATCGGACACTAATATTCGATTGCAATAATCTAACTGTCTTGTCAAATAATAAAAATAGCCTGGGGAAAATAGCCCGGGCTTAAGTTCTGGATGTGTCCTTTAGCCAGAGAGTGACCAAAGAATGATATAAACTTGGTTGTTAAAAATAGCCTAGACTTAAGCTGCACCCAAAAAATCTGGACTTCTCCTTATAGCCAGTAAGTGAACAAAGGATGAATGATCAGGCCCTACTTGACTTAGCAGCAAGTCCTAAAACAGGCACAGGGTTCTTAATTTCTGTCAAATTCTAACATCTTTAGCTGTGTGTGTTAGATGTTATAGGCAAACGGGGGTTGAATGGACGAATGGTTAGCGCGTGCATGTTGTATCAAAAGGTCTGTCATTGAGTCAACTGGCGTTGTTTCAATTCCACAGTTGTATGTGACGAATAGTAGGGGCGCCTGTCCAACCTCTTGGGTTTTCTCCGAGGTCCTCCTGTTTCATCCCACTGCTAAAGACCGCTATGCGCAAGCGAATTATTGAAATAATATTGAACCATATTAGTCCCGAAATGACCTAGTTTGTGTCGAGTGGAAGTTAAACCCCATTTCTATCTCTTTGTCTCTTGTTACAGGCAAACAAAATTGAACTGACCTAGATTTTTCTTTCTGCTCAGCTTTAAATTCCTTTAATATTTGTTTCATGAGAGCTCCTTTAGTTGATACAGTACCATCAATATCTTCTTCATCTAATGCACCAATCTCTTCATCATAATATTGTTCATAAAACTACAATTATATCATATTAATATACAGATGAGACTTCATCCTCAAACCTCGTCAGTTTTCACCGGGTCCTCCGGTTTCCTCCCACTGCTAAAGACCCCTATGCTCAAGCAATTTATTGAAATAAAATTGAACCACATGTTAGTTCCAAAATGACCTAGTTTGTGCCGAGTGGATGTTAAACCCCATTTCTCTCTCTCTCCCGTGACATCATCATTTGATATTGGCATTCCATTATTTAAAATAATAGTACGGTCAATGTGTCAATCGTACATTATTTATACTAGATGAAATATTGGACCCATGTGACATATTTTATTGAAATGTATGTGCTGGATAGTGTCTGTATTTTACGTTGTTTAAAAGGTGTTGAGCTAAAGACATTGCGTAATATATTGAAACAACTCAATTAATTACTTAAAGGAGTATTATAGGAGATTAGAAAAAGTGCTGACAGTTCTCGTTATAATAGTTAACAAGCCAACAGTGAGGCTGATGTCCCCCGCCAAAATACCAAAATAAATAGATGACACATTAATTTATCGCACATTTATTTTTTTTAAAGTATCAAGCAATCAAACTGATTATCAACTATACACTTAAGTTTCATCACTCTCTATCAAAGTTATCTTGTCCTAAAGCATCAACCAACAAGGCATTGACCTAATCAACACTTACACCAAGTTTGAACATTCTAGCTCAATTAGGAAGAGAGTTATCGTGCCCCAAAGTATCAACCAATCAAATTGCTTATCTCTGCTTACCCTAAGCGGAAAATGCTCATCTTCGAACTCCATCAAGGCATTGACCTAATCAACACATACACCAAGTTTGAACATTCTAGCCCAATTAGGAAGAGAGTTATCGTGTCCCAAAGCATCAACCAATCAAATTGCTTATCTCTGCTTACCCTAAGCGGAAAATGCTCATCTTCGAACTCCATCAAGGCATTGACCTAATCAACACATACACCAAGTTTGAACATTCTAGCCCAATTAGGAAGAGAGTTATCGTGTCCCAAAGCATCAACCAATCAAATTGCTTATCTCTGCTTACCCTAAGCGGAAAATGCTCATCTTCGAACTCCATCAAGGCATTGACCTAATAAACACATACACCAAGTTTGAACATTCTAGCTCAATTAGGAAGAGAGTTATTGTGTCCCAAAAAGTGTGAAGGACAGACAGACGGACAGACAGACGGACGAACCCATTTTAATAGTCCCCTGCTTTCTTCGAAAGGCGGGGGACAAAAAATAGATAATGGAAAGAGAATATGCGATTGAATTTTCGGCCTAGCCTCGATCATCATTACTAAAGTCGGTACAATAAAAACAGACTTGATTATCTACTTTGACGTTAAATAATCCATCACAAAGTGTATTCAAATCCAGTAAATATTATATTATATTTTTCATACTACTACAATTATATTGTTCATAGAACTACAAAAAAATAATTATATTGTTCATATTACTACAATTATATTGTTCATAGAACTACAAAAAAATAATTATATTGTTCATATTACTACAATTATATTGTTCATAGAAATACAATTGTATTATTCTTTAAGTGGCATTTAGTAAACTTTATAGTTTACAATTGTATTGTTCATTTCACTACAATTATATTGTTCACAGAGCTACAATTATATTGTTCATATATATATATATATATATACAATCAGTATAATTTATACCTTTTCAAACCTATCATCTAAAAGTGTTAACCCTTCATTCCTTCGAATCACTGATGATGTCATTGAATAATTTGTGAATCGTGATTTGGTTTCTTCCTTTTCAAATTCATCTCCTTCCTTGCCGCCATCATCATCATCATCACTGAACATGTCAGCTTCATCAGATGCAATGTCAGAACCATCACCTTCATCAAACCTATATTAACAAAAAGGAAAGTCATCAAAAAACAAAATATACAGTTCACAAAGCATTCTCAGACTTAAGTTAAGAATTTACTCAACTATCAATCAGTGTTTATAAGAAAGAGAAATGGGGTTTAACCTCCACTTGACACCAACTGGGTCATTTCGGGACTAACATATGGTTCAATTTTATTTCAATAATTCGCTTGCGCGTAGGGTTCTTTAGCAGAGGGAGGAAGCAAGGACCTGGAGAAAACTCACAAGGTTGGATAGGCGACCCTACTCCTTGTCACGTACAACTGGGGAATTGAAACCACATCAGTTGACTCAGTGACAGACCTTATGATACAACGCACATGTGCTAACCATTCGGCTAGCCACCCCCCCTGTTTATGAGAAATATTTTTCATCCAAAAATACAAAGTTTTATAAAGGACTATATTTTAGTTAAAATAAGGCGAACAATTTAGAGTAAATTCTTTAATTTAAATCTGAGAATGTTTTGTGAACGTGGTACCAGATTTTGAGTTTAATCAGTTGTCCTCTGAGTCTCTGAATGTTTGGCAGCCTATACACTGGGTTCCTGTTACATTAGTTGCCTAGACGACCTAATCTCTGTGCAATTCCTTAATATAGTAAATAACATTGCAACTTCCTGGACATATGGTTTAAAAGGAGAAATCGCAGATAGATTTCAACAAATAACATAAATTTCAAAATGACAGTTTACAAACCAGTCTTAGCCTCCTTGTTTACATTCACAACAATATGGTGGCTTGTTCGCTCAATTATAAGAAAGTTTGCAAGGAATTTAATATAAAAGAAGTGACATGTACACAAAAAGATGTCTTAAAACATATTTTCAGTGGGAAGGATGTTTTTATGTCAGTTCTTAGGTATTTAACGATGTTTTTGATTGGTCGATAAAAATAGCACAATCATCAAGGGCAGATAATTTGAATATCCCATGGATGAACCCAGTGTATAGTGGAGTAAAACGGAATGAGACCACTGGGGATACTGAGGATGAAGTTCATTAGAATAAGTCATTTTGTCAGGTTATTCCCTGGGCTTCCTGTATTCTATCAAGCAACTATCTAAAACTTCTGTGATATATTTTTTAAAGAAATACCCAAATTTGAGTGCAAAATGGAGACTAGCCTCTTGACAAGAGATCACCTTATGCCTGAATAAACCTGTCTATGAATCAGACTGATGTTTGCAGTGTGTAATTTATGTCTGGATAAACCTGTCTATGAATCAGACTGATGTTTGCAGTGTGTTATAGAATTCTGTAGGTTACTGCTGTATTGTTGACAATGTTTACAAACAATATCAATATTTTAAGCTGAAACCGTTTGCCAAGCTCTATATTTCTCCACAATCTGAACTCTAATTTGCATATTTAAACAAACTTTTTCAGAGACTTAGTGTAATTTGGCACTTCTCTCTAATGCTAGGTTCCCAGTATCACGATTCGTGCTATGATTGAAATCGTGGTTTTAATTGTGGTGATATTATCAGGTCTTATCATATATTGAGGTCAGTCGTAAAAATCGTGTTGACCGTATAGAAACGTATCGGAAGTATCTACACATGGCAGATCGTGGACTCAATATGGACAATCCTATCATAACGCATCACATGACAGTGGGAAACCAGAATTAACCCGTTAAGCGTGACGTTTTTAAAACGTTAACTACCCCCTATTGTGTAATTAATTTGACGAATTGACGAAGAACTATATACCTCCAAGGCGTTATATTACGCCCTACACACAGTGAGTGGCAGTTGTCCAGGAAGTTATATAACAACCTACGCACTTAACGGGTTAAGTATTGACTTTTGTTTAAACATTTGTGTACTGTTTAATTCACGATCAAAACCAAAAAAACTTAATATACCCTCTCCCTACAACCATCTCCTCTTCTCCTTCAACAGGGGCATTAGCCTTTGTTATAAAATCATCATCTAAAATATTCTCATCGTCATCATAGTCAAAATCATCATCTAATGCCGCTACTATATCAGGATCCCATTCCAATAATGGACCTTAATTAAAAAAAATGTACACATAATAGTATAAAAAAAATAAGCCATTTAGAGCGGCATTAGGTAAAGTTAACATAACAAATCTTCATATTACCTTTTCTAGGAGCAGCTTTATTCAGCAGACCAGTTTTAGCCTCTAATGTTGAAGCAAACACTGAAGATGGTAAACTAATATTTGGTTTATCTTTATTTTTTTCTTCTTCATTTTGTTCTTGACTGCCTTCACCCTATTAAATTAGAAATTTAATGAAATGAAATGAAATGGAGTTTAACGTCCTACTGTTCTGCTCCCATTGGGCTAATAAAGACGGGCATACGCCATACAGTGTGCTATGAGGGAAATTTTGCCTGGACAGCTGCGCTATGCCCTAATCTTATATCTCGAATTCCAAGTGATCTTTTACATGCATGCCAATGTGTACACAGGACCGAATGACTAGACAGCTGTCCTTGTCAGACCTTACGTCCTGCACCACTGTCAAGGGGAAACCACGCCAGAATGTTAAAATAGTATCAATTGATACTCAGCTACATTGTATGCAAAGTCTATAATCAAGTTCACTAGAAAATTCTGGGGCCAATCAAGTCAGGTGTTGAACTTCATCACATTTCTACCTGATTTTAAATTTCTGTTCTATAGGAAAACCTGCTTCCTCTTTTATATGGGATAAAAATAATTGAAAAATATAAAACCTATTTCAAAGTTTTGAAATTTTAAGCAAAACATTGTTCATCAGCCTCCAGTAGAGTAGCCATTTATTTATTAAGACCCTAAAGAATTACATGTATAAATAAAATAGCTTTGGAGAGAGAGAGAGAGAGAGAGAGAGAGAGAGAGAGAGAGAGGTTTAACATTCACTTCACACAAACTAGGTCATTTTGGGACTAACATATGGTTCAATTTTATTCAATAATTCAATTGCGTGCATGGGTCTTTAGCAGTGGGAGGCTACCCTATTCCTTGTCAGGTACAAGCAGCAAGTCAATACCATGCCAGCTGACTCAATGATCCAACGCCCATATGTTAAACCATTCGTCCACCCACACCCCCTAAAATAGCTTTGGCCTTAAGAAATACTTTACCTCTTTCTCAGCTGCTACTTTATCTTTTTTCAAGTCTGATTTATGGATTCTAGTTCTTTCAACTGGTTCTAATTCACTGATCTCATTAGCATCACGTAAATGTTGTAAATAATTATATTCATCTTCATAAAATACACCAAACTTTCGTTCTTCTTCTTTTCTAGATTCCTACAAAAAAACAAGCCATTATAGTTTTTCATGAATCAAATCTGAGTTCTTAGAAAAGAAATAAAATGATAAGGGCTTTTTAATGTTGGCTACGCCACATGAAGGGAATTTTGCCCGAACAGCATTGTTTCTGTCTAGTCTACTCTTTGTCAAGAGAGAGGGAGAGAAATGGGGTCTAACCTCAACTCAACACAGACTAGGTCATTTCGGGACTAGCATATGGTTTAATTTTATTTCAATAATTCACTTGTGCGTAGGGGTCTTCAGCAGTGGGAGGAAACCATGTCACGTATAACCGGGGAGAATTGAAACCATGCCAGTTGACTCAATGACAGACCTTATGAGGAGTCAACATAGGCCCAGCCTGTTCTCCAATCCATTTTCAAATGAAATAAAATACTGTTTACAAAAAAAAAAAAAAAACCTTATGATACAATGCGCATGTGCTAACCAATCGGTCCAAATAAAGAAAAATTCAAACCTTGTTGTCAATAGGAAGCAGAACATGTGATGTTGCCCTGTCATTAGCAATCAGTGGATCTCTCTGACTTCTATGAACCAGGGTAAAAGTTACAGAATTCTTCTTATCAATAAACTTCTTCTTAGGCTGAAAAAATAAAACAAAATTCATTAAATATTGTCAAATTTGTGCATAAGATGACGTTTGAAAAACACAAAAGGGGTCCATAGATTTACTCAAAACTACCTGTAGTTTCCTTAAAACAGCACTTTCATCATATATTGTTGTTTAAAAGTTTTATGTTGAGGTCTTACTAATTTTAACGATTAAGATGATCGGAATGTTAAAAAAAAAAAAAGGGTTTAGGCCAAGAAATGTCATGGATTTAACATTGAAGTCAATGGGGAGAGAAATATTAGTCTGACTCCATAATCACAAGGATGACAGTAAGAGTTGTCTTTCTTGCTTTTATCTTCCATTTATTTTACGTTTTCTTTCAGAAATATTGATAACAAAGAGTAGACTAAAGTCTGGGGAATATTAAAGATACATTATGTAAGATTTAGATAAAGAACTAGCCATTCTTGCTATAATAGTTTGAAAGTAGATGATGTAAAATGAATAATTTGAAAATTTCATTCAAATTACTCTATTGCAAGCGAAGATATTAGCCTTTGAAGGTTTGACAGACGTGTGCAATAATTTCAACCACCGTACTGGTTGATCGAAGCTATGTCTTGGTCCTCCATATTTGATTAAATCAAAGTATCGCTGAACCATTCTAATCTATTTAATATCGGAGAAATCTGATGCCATTGACAGTTGATTAAGGCCTGGATCAGTTAATTAATGTCTAATTAATACTTTAGAAAACATTTCAGGCCTAAAGAAAGACCAGCAAAAGGCAGATTTAGCTCTTGCATAATGCATGTTTAATCATCTATACTGTACATATCAAAAGATGTAAAAAATGCATAAAAATGTGTTTTTATAATTATAAGCAAAACACTGGTTGTTTTAGGTGTATTACTGTATGGACGGACGGAAAAATGCACATTGTGACATAGACCAGTCCAAAGGCTAAGGCAAAGTCATGTCAAAGAAAATCGGCAATAATAGTCGACCTGAATTATTATTATTTATTGTTAGGGATATGATCCATGGGAGTCACATCGATCAACCATGAATGCAAGCAATTCTTCTGATCGGTGATACTATAGTTACCCTACCATTACTTTTGTGCAGACGAACTGTCCTATGTTTCTACTAAAAAAATTCAACTATCCTGTATGGCTTTAATTCTGTTATTTCTGGATAAGGCTGTACAAGGGCTTTACAATGACACCAAAATGAGCTTGATAGGCCCTATATTAATGGAGTTATGCCTAATTAATTGTCACTAATTAATGGCTCTTTTGTCTGAAGAACAATGAATGGAAAGTGCGACCATCTTGCGCAGTTGCGAGCGGTAAAATTCCACTAACTTTCTTACATGGCAGTCACTTCAAAACTGGATCAAAAATTTTACGCACTTCATATTTTGGCTCCGCACCTACAGATGTCATTGAAAACTCGCAGAATTAAAGTTGAATATATATATTTTCAAATCAATATATTATTTACCCTATGCCTGGTATCCGTCCCAAAAATCGGGTTGTTTTCTACTTTCATTTTGACGTTTAGCTTTCTCCGCACTCAGGGCAGCTAGAGTGAAAATACGAAAACGAGGCAAATATTTAGTCATTTTTTTACAAAAATAACCACATTTGCAGCCGCAGTTTTGTACCAATGGACAATCTGACGAGGAAGAAAAGCCAATACACAAATCGCACTGGCGTATCTGTGGCGTGACTCGTGACGACAAAATTACGCCAGCGGGTTACCGCATCATTGGCTTACATACATGTACCTAACTACATTACAGTTACGAGTAGGCTACATCGTACATGCAATATTCACTTATTGAAGTTATTCAGGTCTATGGTCATGGACATGATCATGATTGTTATATTCGCGGAAGGGCTGTTTGTTATTTATTAATTTCACGGGGTTACATTTATTTTCTCTGTTCTTGATATTTACATTACATGATTACCAGTAGGCCTACACTAGTTTACACATTGTGTGTGAAACTGTGACTGTGAGTGTCAGTTAAGTTAATAAGTATGAGTATTGAATTAAATTGAATCTGTTTCAACATTTACAATGAAATCAACCACGTTACATCACATTCAATTTAGTTTGGTAACTTTCAAAAAGAATTACTCATGAATTACACAGAATCTGCAAGCAAATAATGATCTTACCATTATGTTATGTTAGATAATTTTTATTAGAAATAATTAACACAATTTTGATGAATATTTTATATCAAAACAAACCAACACGTGCGCCGGAAGTATATTAAATTTTTCTGTAGCCATAATTTACGGACAAGATTTGGAATAGGAACAGAATCCATTAAATTTTAAAAATCCCTAGCCTGTGTCAGCCTGTGAGAGATAGTTAGGAGTTGATGATGGAATGACAGTATCAACTCCTCAAACGTGTTACGTAAAAAGGGAAAATGATTTTTAAAAACTACGTATTCGGAAAATATCAAAATTTAAACGACTTAATACACGCTAAAAATGTAGCCCACCGTTACTCAAATTTATTATTTAACATTTAATTAAGAAAAATATCTCCCAGCTTGGATTCAGTCAGATTGAGAAGAGGCCCATCGAAATATTCAGCTAAACTAATAATACATGGCGCTGGCATAATGTGTGGACCAGTGGATGCCAAATCAGTAAATGCAAATTATCAAGTTATCATATCTTTCTTTGTCTTTATTTTGTAAATACTGAAAGAATTTGAACATTATTGGGCCGATATTCATGTAAGAGATTTAAATTTCACAATATTGTAATTTGAAAGTAATTAAAAATCCCCCAAATGACGCCCTGGGCTTAAAGCATAGTTTAATATTCTTTAATTGGGACAATGCCAAAAAAAAATGGATTGTAGTCAATCCGTCAAGAATTTGGTGGAATTAATCGATTGCTTAAAAATATTGAAGGATTTAAAGAAATTAAATATGAAATGATGATTACTCTTTCACTGGCCCATCAATAAAATGGAGTCCTAACAATTTTAATGTAATACCGGTATTTTAAAATAAAAACACGAGAAGAAAATGTTGAATTGTCAACAATTTCGTTTCGTTTCCGTGAAATGACTCAAATTTGATTTGGTCGAACTAGTCATGGCGAAAGTTGTTAATCCTGATGACGTTTACAAAGAATGTCAAATAAATATCAAGGATAACAACAAACATCCAGAAGGAAAATACTGGACGAGGTATATTTAACATTCCATCATTGTCTCGGTTTATCTTTTTACTAGTTTTTGACAAGCGTAATCACGTTATGTTTTAAACTCACTCAGCCATTCAACCATAGCCAAGATTGAACTGAAGATTATGTGAGCGTGACCGTCAAGCACTGCCAGTCAGAAGAGTTAGAGCACTGAAGTAATCAAATCATGTATATTCTGAATTTTACTTTGATCACTATGATCGAGGTCATAAAAGAAACCTGAAATATCTTTACCCTTCCTGCTACAGTAGGAACTACCTTTCAAATTTTTCAGACCAGAATTACGCGAACACTGCAGAAAAAAACCCTAAGAAATCTCTGAGATTTCAGGGTGAATTTCCGCTCAATTCCCCGCGAATTTCCGCTCAATTCCCCCGCGAATTTCCGCCAGGATCCGCTCGAAAACACTGTGTTTCCCTAGGAAAATACCGTGTATCGCCATGCTTTCACGCAAGGAATTCATTAGCTTTTCATCGATCCCCCCCCCCCCTTTTCACTGCAAAACTCAGTGATCCACCGTGAAACTCTGTGTTTTGGCTGGCACCACAGGTCATAATCACGCGAAAATCCGCTTATTTCACACATTTTTTTCAAAATAAATGCAAATATTGACGGACGCTGCGTAATTTACACGCAGAAAATTTCCCTGACGTGAGAATAATTAGATTATTCTATGTCGTAGTTTGTACAATTTATGTGCTTCACCCGGCATTTATACACCTCTACTGCACGTAGTCTCTGTAGTTTTTTATATTTCCTGTTATTTCATTCATAAGTTCATGGCAGTAAGCCTACGTAGCTATCCTATTGGAAGCAATAAAGCGCATTTCATACAAGACTTGGGATTGGCTAGAACACGATATACTGTTTACATTCAGCCAATAACTACATGTATTTGACTTAGTTTATAATGGGTTTAATTGTTCTTTTGAGCGATTTATTAAGTTCAATTTAGTGGTTTTGGTTCATAAAATTAAATTTTAAGGAAGCTTCATGAAGCCACAACACACACTCCACATAAACCCACATCCAACAGACCAACGGTTTCAGAAAGTCTTTGTAAATATATAATATTACTACATCTTATGATTTTTGATTTTGCCTTGCTCCTTAATAACTTGATATATTTATTATACAAAATCATCAGATTTCACCGTACAAATATAAAGTTCTCTCTTGAAATATAGATACAATTCTGTGATACCATCGTTCATGTTTTGTGGTTTCGATTCCCCTGTTGTACGTGACAAGGAGTAGGGTCGCCTATCCAACCTTGTGGGTTTTCTTCTTGTCTTTCGGTTTCCTCCCACTGCTAAAGACCCCTACGAGCAAGCGAATTGTTGAAATAAAATTGAGCCATGTGTTAGTCCCAAAATGGCCTAGTTTGTGTCGAGTGGACCTTAAACCCCATTTCTCTCTCTCTCTCTCTCTCTCTCTCTCTCTCTCTCTCTCTCTCATGTTTTGTCATAACTAAAAAAAGATTTTTTTTGTTTATCTTTTTACAGGATCGAGAAACGACAATGGGCTGTTGGCTTATTTTTAGGCACTGCCATGCTCTACTCATCTCGGACAATAATGCCTCTGGCTGTCGTGTCAGTGTCAGAAGAGATGGGGTGGGATAAAACTGAATCAGTAAGATGTTTTTTCTTCTTTTTCAAATAAATATATCTTCTGTATCTTCATTTCATATCACTTACATATCAGTCAGTGCCGGATTAAGGCTCTGCTGGCCCTAAGGCACAGTTTGATAGGTGGCCTGAAAATAGAGATATGTTGGGCTCATTGACAAAAGGAATTAAGTTAAATTTAGCTACAGAAAATTTATTACAAACAAATTCAGAACATTGACAGTACTGTATTTACTATAAGTAGCCTACATATTCCCATTCACTGCCTAGCTAGATTACGACTTTGCGTGCTTTTGTGACTGCAAATTCGTCAGTTAGTTTTTTAAAGTCAATTTTATGATGTAAACCATTTTCAATGCAGAGAGGTGCTAGTATACCAAGATGTTTTTGACCCATCGTTGAAGGCAAGCATTTTTGTCACCACCTGATAATTATCAAAAAAGTTTTACTTTATTATTTTGTGGCCTGGATTTTTGGCTGGCCCTAAGGCACGTGCCTTATTTGCGTTATGGTTAATCCAGCACTGATATCAGTCGAACTTGTCTTTCAAACTGGCACTAAGCGTCTTATTTTATTGCCAACTGCAGAAGAGTAGTAATTCTTTGTAATGTACATGTACCTGTATTAGAAATGTAGAAGAAAATAAAAGCGAACGCTGGACGCCAGCCATTTTGATATCTTAAGGTAGAATTTGCAAATTTTAATTTAGTTAATATTGTTTTTATATATTTTTGAAATTCAAATTCTTTACAGGGAACTGTCTTGTCAGCATTTTTCTGGGGTTACACAATGACTCAGTTCCTGGGTGGTTATTTGAGTGATCGCATTGGTGGAGATGTCGTTATACCGACAGCGGCATGTCTGTGGGGTCTGATAACATTTTGGACACCCCAGTTAGCATACGCAGCCTCCGATAAACATTCTGCTTTATATATAGTAGTTTTAACACGAGCTCTACAGGGAATATTTCAAGGTGAGATCATTGAATATATTTATTTTATTCTGAGTTAGAATTTATGTATTAATTAGGGACCTTATCAATCTGATTAACATGCAGATCTATATTTGTTTTTTTTTTTTTTATACTTTCGATGGCTTCTACAACATGAAGATCTGACCGGTTGTAGTGGAAGATCGCATCAAGTGTCATTCAAGCGACTTTTGACCCTAAGACATCAGACATTTGATTAACCAATCAGCGTTAATGTTTCTAGTGGGTTACTCACAGTTCTGTACACCTCACGCCAAAAACTTGCAGTAACTGACGGTTTCATAGGCTAATAACCTCACATCATTCCAGAATTCGGGTAATATAACAACTCTTCCAGATCCTAGTGTAGTAAAGACGCGACCTTCCACTACAACTGGTCAGATCTTCATGTAGTGTATGCCATCGAAAGTATAAAAAAACGAAACGAAATATAGATTTGTATTTTAATCAGATTGATGAATGTGCTGAATTTTTAAGATATTTTAGACAAAGTATTCATATATAGGGTCACAGATATCTTACTAAATATTTTTCAATGAAAACATTGATGTATATGTAGCAGTAAATATATGTATGCATGGGTCCTGGTTCTGAAACAAAATAACTTTGTGTGTTATATACATATATGTAATTGTGTCTTGTCTGTAAGTTTGTCATCTTGAAGTTTTCTGGCTGTTGTAATGTGTGGTGCTGTTACTCTGCACCCAGAGCCCTAGAAAAACAAGAACTCTTGAATGTTTAAATTAATCACAAAATAAACCATAGATATGTATCTAATGTAATGTATTAATTTCAGACTATTACACATAAACCACACATTATGTCTCTTATTGTGCATTATAACATATCTACATGTAAAACACACATACATGATATTGTTGTGCATTATTATTAATCTAATATACATGAAACATGTACGGTATCTTGTTGTGCATTATTACATATCTAATATACATGAAACATATACAGTATCTTGTTGTGCATTATTATTAATTTAATATACATGAAACATGTACAGTATTTTCTTGTGCATTATTACATATCTAATATACACACACATATACAGTATCTTGTTGTGCATTATTATTAGTCTATTATACATGAAACACACATATATCTTGTTGTGCATTATTACATATCTACATGTAATATACATACAGTATCTTGTTGTGCATTATTACATATCTAATATACATAAAATAGATATATGTCTTGTTGTGCATTATTACATATCTAATATACATGAAATAGATATGTCTTGTTGTGCATTAATACATATCTACATGTAATATACATGTAGTATCTTGTTGTACATTACATTATTAATAGATGTAATATACATGTACATAAAACACACATTAATCGTGTTGTACATTATTATTAGTTTAATATACATAAATAACACATGTCTAAATGTAATGTATAATTGTCAGACTGATATACATGAATAAGTAACAGGTATTATGGCATGCATACAGTAGTAGATAACAGTTATTGTATGTATAATTAATAAGTATCTAGTACATGATATATTGATTATAATGCACTCTTTGTAAATACTGTATTGATTACTAGCAAGATACCTGGGTCTGTTTCATGGAATTTTAACTAAGATAAAATCCAAATTTTAGTCATTTGATTGGGTAATATTAGATTGATTTTAGTGCTTAGCCAATCAAAATTGAAGTATGTGCTAAAATTTGGATTTTATCTTTCGTTAAGATTTCGAGAAACAGGGCCCTGGCTTCACTGAGGTTCCAAATTCTCACAGGGCCCGAATTCGCTATGGGCACATTTCGCTATGGGCACATTTCGCTTGGGGCCCAAATTCAATGGCCTAAAACATTCCCGGGGTCATGCTAGTTTATTTGTTATCACAAATCTGGGGGTGGAGCGTGGCAACACGAGTGGCTATTTGTATAAAAACCACAAAGAACTAAAAAATGAAATTAAGTGGCTGTGACTCATCACATGATTAGTTTAAGAAAGATTTTATACCTTCAGATTTTACCAAATATTTTAGAAGATGTAAAAATATTTTTAGAGTTCTTTGTTTTTGCATGTATTGTGCACTGTCTAACATTTCTATTGTAGAATATTCTCTAGTTTATATTTCTTTGGCATGTTTGATTAATTTAGGCGTGCACATGCCAGCAACTACGAGTTTGATCAGTAAGCATGTTGATAATAAGTCTCGAGCAATTTATACATCTTTTGTTGTAACTGGTAATTATGTTGGGTAAGTCACGGTATTCTGTGCAGACTGAAAACTGCATATTGCATGTGTTTAAAATCCTGGACTAATGGTGTCTATACTTCATAGCTGATAAATATCTGATTGTCAAGTTTTAAAATTTACCTTATATGATTATTTCTAATGTATTTCCGTGTACATGTGTTTGGTTCAAGATTAAAATTTGGTTATGTTTTGGGGGGTTGGATGGCCGAATGGTGTTTGTGTTGTACATAAGGTCTGTCATTCATTCAACTAGCAGGGTTTCGATTCCCCGGTTGTACTTGACAAGTAGTAGCCTGTCCATCACCTGCCCTTCGGTTTCCTCCTCCCTCTGCTAAAGAACCCTACACGCAAGCAAATTATTGAAATAAAATTGAACCATATGTTAGTTCAAAAATGACCTAGCTTGTGTCAAGTTGACGTTAAACCCCATTTCTATCTCTCTATCTCTGGTTATGTTTTCTTAAGGTTGTACATGCATGCTGCACTCTTTCTTTAGCTGACATTGTAAATTCTAAGACCTTTTCGGGGGGTTGGATGGCTGAATGGTTAGCGTGCGCGCGCTGTATCATAAAGTCTGTCATTGAGTCGACTGGCGTGGGTTCGAATCCCCGGTTGTACGTGGCAAGGAGCAGGGTCGCCTGTCCAACCTCGTGGGTTTTCTCCGGGGCCTCCGGTTTCCTCCCACTGCTAAAGACCCCTACGCGCAAGCGAATTATGTAAATAAAATTAAACCATATGTTAGTCCCGAAATGACCTAGTTTGTGTCGAGTGGACGTTAAACCCCATTTCTCTCTCTCTCTCTAAGACCTTTTCATGATTGCTTGTGAATGTTAAAGTCACTGATTATTTTAAGAATTTTGAATCCATTGCAAACTCAAAACAGTTCGAATTAGATGTTAAATTATCAATTTCAGTACATTTTTTGTGTGGAGATTTAGATATTGTCTGATAAATACATGATCGGGATTGGTGATTTTAACAGTTTACAATTAAAACATTTGATATTAGTTATATCTCAATAATCCAATATTCATCTCACTTCACTATTGAAATAAAGTACGACTTCACAATTCTTATATTTCTAAAATTAGAGTGCTCCATTCAACAACACTTCTCAACTCTCATCCTCAGGCCTGGAAATAACGGTTTTAGATGTACCTGACAAAATGTCAGGCACTAATGAAATAGTACCTAATGCCGGACATGTATTAATAATATCAATAAAAAAGACAAATCAGTGCCGGACAAAATGACAGGCCCCAGAGGTTTAGTGCTTGAGAAAGCCTGAATCTGTGCCTGACATTTGTCAGTGACAGATGCCTTATTTCCAGGCTTGCTCATCCTCCATCCCCCTACTCTAATCGATATTTTAAATTAGACATTTATTATTTTATCAGCTATTAAGTGATGATTACGATGACTTCACTTTATATATCACTGTGTATTAGCATTTCTCATAGTGTACCAGGGCTTTTATTTCATTCATATTTTGTCAGTTGTCACTGAATGGCATTAGAATTGACAGACTGGACAATTGACATATCAGTCAATATACATGCCCTAAATTTATGTCATTCAAAGAATTTCACCTTAAAACACAATATATTACAGCTAAATTTATGTTTTTTATACATTAAAAAACTTAAATATTTATTTATAATTCGAGATGCCATATTCTTTGATTAATTCCTTGGGTTAATCTGAGATAAGTAATACACTAAAACCATTAACTGGCTGGCAAAATTCTGAAGTAAAAGTCCATCACACTCTTGGCTCCATTGTATAAACTCTGGTACAATAAGATGCTTCTCATGCGGTGGTTATAATTCAATTTGAGAACTAGAGAGAGACTAACAAAGGGGTCTTTAGCAGTTCGAGGAAACCAGAGGACCAGGAGAAAACCCACAAGGTTGGACAGGGGACCATACTCCTTGTCAAGTACAACCGGGGAATCAAAACCATGCCAGTTGACTCAATGACCGACCTTATGATACAACGCGCACACGCTAATCATTCGGCCATTTGAGAACTAACTTCCAGTCTATGGTAAAACTACCTGTATGTTCAAGTCTACAGAGAATTGTTATTTCTTTGATCGTGATGATGTGAAATGATGCGCTGGTGACTTCAATTAATCTTGCTCTACATGTGCTGTTGGTGACTTCAATAAGTTGGGTTGGATATCCGAATTGTTAGCATAAGGTGTATCATAAGGTCTGTCTTTGACTCAACTGGATTGGTTTCAAAGTTTGAATTCCCCATCCTTGTGGGTTTCTCCTACGCACAAGCAAATTATTGTCCACCCAACCCCCACTCTCATCTTGTTTTACCACTGTGTATACGTCTGGTCATATCAACGGTATTTCTTTCTGTAAAACATACATAATGTTAATGACTCATTGTTTGTTTCTTGGTAAAACCTGTTCAATGAATGAAATGAAATGGGGTTTAACGTCCTACTGTTCTGCTCCTATACTGGGCTAATGAAGACGGGCATACGCCATACAGTGTGCTATGAGGGAAATTTTGCCCAGGCAGTGGCACTATCCCCTAATCTTATATCGAATTCCAACTGCCAAGGGATCTTTTACGTGCATTCCAATGTTTACACGGGACCTCGGTTTTTCGTCTCATCCGAAGGACTGGACATCTGTCCCTGTCAGGCCCTCCGTTCTGCACCACTAACAAGGGGAAACCACGTCGGAAAATCGGGATGAACTTTCTCGGCCAATGCAAGGATCGAACACCCGACCTCCAGACTAGCGAGCCAGCGCCTTACCCACCTATCCACCATGGCTCCCAAAACCTGTTCAAGTTTAATGATATTCAACAATAATGAATATCAATAACGAGTGTAACATATTGTAGCTGTTCAATCAATTATCAGTATTATTATTATTATAGGACATTGCTTTATCTATACACCGGTAATCAAATATTATAGAATAGGTCCAATATTCAATTTCAATATTGAATAACTCCTACATGTACCTTTTAACTATTGAATAAGTCCTACATTTATCTAATTTAGAAACAAAGTATACAATAAGTTTTTTACATATTAAATTCTTATTTATTTGAAACAAAGTATAAGATTTGTTCTATATTTATCTATTTTAGGTCCATTTGAATTGAAACAAAGTATAGAATAGGTTCTATATGTATCTAGTTTAGGTCCAATAGAATAGGTCCTGTATTCATCTATTTTAGGTCCATTTGAAACAAAGTAGAGAATAGGTTCTATATGTATCTAGTTTAGGTCCAATAGAATAGGTCCTATATTTATCTATTTTAGGTCCATTTGAAACAAAGTAGAGAATAGGTTCTATATGTATCTAGTTTAGGTCCAATAGAATAGGTCCTATATTCATCTATTTTAGGTCCATTTGAAACAAAGTAGAGAATAGGTTCTATATGTATCTAGTTTAGGTCCAATAGAATAGGTCCTATATTTATCTATTTTAGGTCCATTTGAAACCAAGTAGAGAATAGGTTCTATATGTATCTAGTTTAGGTCCAATAGAATAGATCCTATATTTATCTATTTTAGGTCCATTTGAAACAAAGTATAGAATAGGTCCTATACTTATCTATTTTAGGACCATTTGAAACAAAGAACAGTGAGGCGTTAACATTATAAAATGTTCATATTTTATTAAGAATTCTTAATTATTACTTATATTGAGTTGAGAACATCAGGAACTCTCCAATGCTTCTTTCAACTCAATCTGATTAAAATACAGATCTATATTATGTTTCGTTTTATGGCCTACACTACATGGAGATCTGACCGGTTGTAGTAAAAGGTCACGTCAGAGATCATAACGAGCGTCTTTTGACTTTATGACGTTAGACATTGATTATTCAATCAGCGTTGGTGTTTCTAGTGGTTTATCCACAGTTCTGTGCCTCGCATGCCAAGAAGTCGTTGTAACAGATGGTTTCATTGGCTAATCCCTCACACAATCCAAAATGCAGATTATATAACAACTTCTCCAGATCCTAGTGTAGTAAAGACACGTAAAACGAAATTTTGAAGTATAAAAAATGAAACGAAATAGGATCTTTGTTTTAATCAGATTGCTTTCAACTGCATCTTTTCTAACAGTTTCAGGGACAATCAAGAGAACACGTTTTTTTATGATTGTCGAGGATATTTGATTTCAAAATACATTAATTAACTATGTTCACTTGTTTATAATTCCAAATATTTCCCATGCACTCTGTTTTTCACAAGCAGTGTTCAACAATTTCTAATTCTACAAATATTTTTAAATGGATTTTATTTATAACAATCTTCTGAACTGTTTAACCCTTTGGACACCCTGAATGACATTAGGCCAATATGCTAGCCTCCGATGGTAAAAATGGACCAAAACATTTTTTTGTAATATTATGAACCCTTGGGACTTCAGGGGACCAAAATACGGCTAGAGTACCGACCAGTCGGTATATTGGCTGCCACTCGGTTAGCAAGCCAAGGGGCATCTGGGCCAGTCTTTCGGCCACTCGGGTCCAAAGTGTTAAGTATGATCTGGTCAGTGTGGGATGTTTAAAAGCATTACAGATGTTTTTAAATTGATTTTAGAGCTAACATGAACGACTTTGCTGCTGGTGGGCGTATTAAGGGGTCTGATAAAGCTTCTATCTGTCTTTACGATTTTATCTCCCGATTATGTAAATTTGATTTGATGGACGGCTTGCTTGTGATAAGATTTGTGTTAGCTATCAGAAGGTTTTTTTTGTTGTTTTTTTTTATCTGTGTTTTATGCATCTGCTGTTTTGTTTCAAAATTTCACCTTTTTGTACGTCTTTTTTTTTTTTTTTTCTATAAATCTAGATATTTGAGGTTGATCTATTCTGGAAACAGTCAAAAAAAATATATATATAGTTTAGATATATGTGACCGGTGATGGCAATTTTAGGTCATTAAGACTCATTTTGCTATCACCAGTCACATATAGAACCTATTGTAAATTATGATACATCTATTTAGGGTTCCATTTTCCCAGTATGACAAGTCTTGTTTCAAGAAAAGTTACAGAATCTGAACGATCATCAACATTTGTTATGGTTTCAACTGGGGCTACATTCGGGTAAGGTGTTGGATAGGGGACAGGATTAGTTATTCAATGGCGCTAAACTTCTGATAACTAACAACAAATCTTTATGGGTATTAAACAGATCCCATATTCACTGAGATTAGAATTATTCATGAGGGAGAAATAACGTCAGATTCTAGAAACAGACAATATCTGCGATATCACCTCGGAGGAAGCGGACGTAAAATAAAACGAACTCACACACAGAAACAGACATCCACATATGCGTCAATCCATATTGACATTTCAGTTAACAAAAAGCACATCTGAAACGGTAGATCTTTAAGTATAATGCCTCTTTTAGTATTAATAATTTAATTAAATCAACCTTTCCATAATATCATATTTTTGTATTGGACGTTAAATCCGTAATAAACAACAACAATACAACGGTAGGTTTTGTGGAAAAATTACAATTATATTTGCCACCCTTCACTAACTGGCAGAGAAATTGATCTTTAGTGGAACTTATACCTGTCATTTAATTTAAGGGGTGAGGCTACCCGTAAATGTTCTTTTAAATGTTAAAGCTATTGAATTGAAAATAGTATAAGTAGTTAGGAAATATAATAAACAAGGGAAATATAAGATATACATGAATAATAATATCTCACTGTGAATATGGCATCTGTTTAAAAGGGATGTAGACTGTTATTCATTTGTTAGATACTAGAGTTAGATTTTGTAATATATCCAATTCAGGTCTACATTATCCCAGTATGACCAGCTTAATATCTCGTAAAGTTATGGAACGGGAACGCTCTTTTACATACAGCACTGTTGCAACTGGATCCCACTTTGGGTAAGAAGACAGTCGTTTAATATCTTATTGATCGAAAACCTTAAAATGGCTGCCCTGAAGCTTATTTGCATGAATCAGGCAATCGGAAACAGGGGGTGTACCTGATGAGTCAAGTACCGATAGCTGCAAAATCATTTTTCAACAATCTAAATTTATGCATGTAAGTTAAACATTTCCTTGGATAAATCCAACTCATATGAGTCGAGTATCTGTGGACGAAAATTAATTTCTCATAAAAAGAATATTTTTATGCATGTAAGTTTAAATAGTTCAGGGGTAAATCCAATTCATATGATAATTACTTTTTCACAAAAAAAAATAATTTATGCATGTAAGTTAAATAGTTCTTTGATGCATGCAAGTTTAAATAATTCTTGGGTAAGTCCAATTGGTATGATAAATATATCTGTTTGATTATCCAGTGTCAAGCGATACAGCCACTAGACTCTAGACTAGAATATCCAGGATACAAATCCTGGCATTGGCTTCTCAAGTCCAGTTTTCACTAATCAAGGCAGGGGTGTGTGCAGAAAAAAGAGTGGGGGAGGGGTGGCAGTCCGTTTTGGCATGACTGACCGCGGTCCTTAAGTGGGGTATGCCATTCTCTCCCAGAAAATATTGCAAATTTGAAGTGGATTTCCTTGCATCTGAGGCCATTTCTGAAGGAGATTTACTCTTTTAAATGTATAGACTCTCTTCTAGGTCTCTCTTGTATAGTATAGGTTCCACATAAGGGGGTGGGTGAGAAGGGTAATGCCTACATGGTTGCCAAGGCAAGTGTTGTTTAGTTTTCCGGATAAGATGAAAAACAGATTAGACAAACAGTTGACAGATTCCCTGCTGTCTGGACAAAATTTCCCTCTGCACACTCTGCATGGTGTATTCCTATCTTTATGAGCCCGGTTGGTGTAGAAAAGTAGGACGTTATTTGTTAAATCCAATTTCATTTCAATCCATTTTGATATTAATAAGAAATTAACTATGTTTGGTTTTTAGTGCTTTTATTTTAAACTTTTGGTGGTTAGGAATTTCTTTATTTCGACGTTGTTGTAAGTGTTAAAATTACTACACTGGATTATCACTGTAGATGGCAGTGGTGATGTAAGTGTTAAAATTACTACAATAGCTTATCACTGTAGATGGCAGTGGTGGCGTTGTTGTAAGTGTTAAAATTACTACAATAGATTATCACTGTAGATGGCAGTGGTGATGTTTGTCGTATGTTTTTGATTAAGCTAGCTCTGGGTAGTCTGAGGAAAATAAGAATGTGATAAATCTAATTAAAATTCTTTTACCGATAATAAGAAATACCGTATTTTTCGAGGTATAAATCGATACTGTTTCCGCGGAAGTCGGGCCTCCTTTTTGTATTCCACATAAAGGTAAGGTGAAAAAAATGACAGCCTGTAAAAATAATTCTGTTGAATGACATCTTCTGATAAATAATAGTGTCCATGGGGCAAAGTCAAACTTTTCATGTACCCTTTAAATAGAAATATTTAAAAACAAATATTTAAAAGCATATCAATTTAACTTGAACATTGAAGCCAATAAATTTAAGACAAAATTGTGAACTTCACACCAAGGAAATGTGTGTTTAACACTTGGAAAATAAGCATTGACTAGAAAATGCCAGTATGTAAAAGAGAGTTGCTAGTACGATGTAAAGAAAACAAAGGTTGTGATCACGACATATTCTCCGGCATCTATTATCTTTGGACTCTTGGAGGGTATTTTTTGGAGGGATTATTGTTTTTACTAATCACCACTATTTAACTAACATTTATAATCTTGATATACAAAATAATTAAACAATTTAAATATAGTAAATATATTTATAGACTCGATAATGGTTTTAATTATTATTAGTAATTGTTTTAATTATGTTATTCAATGTGTATTAATTCAATGATTACTATTTCAATCAGCATTATATTTATTTAATTAACGTATTTTATTGTGTTTTTATACATGTTACATTGTTTTATATATTCTGTGTATTATATTTCAGAACATTATTAACAGGCAGTTTAGGCTCCTTTTTATTAGATAGATATGGTTGGCAGATGCCATTTTATATTATTGGTAAGTCTTGAGACCCGAATTACCGGAAGCAAAGATAATATTTTTCAAATTTCTCGGCATTAAAATAGATAACTTTTACCACTCCAAGGCATCATTTTTAAGGAACTTCCCATTTTCATTAGCCCAGTTGATGCAGCAGGGGGGGGGGGATGGTCGAATGGTTAGCACGTGCACGCTGTATCATAAGGTCTGTCATTGAGTCAACTGGCGTGGTTTTGATTCCCCGGTTGCACGTGACATGGAGTAGGGTTGCCTGTCCAGTCTCGTGGGTTTTCTCCGGGTCCTCTGGTTTCCTCCCACTGCTAAAAACCCATGCGCGCAAGCGAATTATTGAAATAAAATTAAACCATGTGTTAGTCCCGAAATGACCTAGTTTGTGTTGAGTAGACATTTAACCCCATTTCTCTCTCTCTCTCTCTGACACAGCAGAGTAGGCAATTAAACCCCATTTTATTCATTTGAAGATGCTTTCCCACGTCCAAATTGTGATTTGATGATATATTTGGACTAAAAATATATTCAAACCAATTAATCTATCAGAAATTTGCTTCAAATTCCTCTCAAAACTTTGTATTCACTGGGAGATTCCTATAGCTATAAATAAACTGTTGTTAGATGCTATGGCTGTCCCCTTACTTCTTTGTGGAAGCGTCCATTTTTCATAATGTATTTTTCATTACTTACTGTCCATTTACCATATATATTGACTAATTGAGGCCTAAGTAAATTCTTAATTATTTTCTGTCAACTTCTTTTTCCGCTGTTTAATTGGAGAGTCTTTTGTATGTTGACACCCCTCAATGTTCCCAAAAAACGCCTAACCATTTGATCAAGAAATAACAACCGCTCCCTCAGTCAAGCTAGCTCACAATAAGCTGGCAGACATTTTTGCCCAGTGCTTGCACCATGGGTGTTTGTCAGGTTATTCAGTAGTTTTCTACGGGGATCACGTGGCTAGGTGGTTAAGACGCTGACTCGCTAGCCTGGAGGTCGGGTGTTCGATCCCTGCATTGGCCGAGAAAGTCCATTCAGATTTTCCGGCGTGGTTTCCACTTTTCAGTGATGCAGGATGGAGGGCCTGACAAGGACAGCTGTCTAGTCGTTCAGATGGGACGAAAAACTGAGGTCCCGTGTACACATTGGCGTGCACGTAAAAGATCCCTTGGCAGTTGGAATTCGATATAAGAGTAGGCCATAGAGCTGATGCCCAGGCAAAATTTCCCATTTCCCTCATAGCACACTGTATGGCGTATGTCCATCTTCATTAGCCCAGGTTAGGAGCAGAACAGTAGGACGTTAAACCCCATTTCATTTCATTTCATTTCATTTCATTTAGTATTTTTCTAGTAAGATTGGGTATACATACTTTGAATATATACCAAATTTGCCATAGTTTTATTGGAAATAACCACCCGATAAATACTTTCGGGACAATGTATCTTTAAGGAGCTTGATATCACCTCGCGCTTGCAAATGTGTTCGAAGTGAAACAGAGAAGTAGGATTTTTTTTAGGAGACATGCATGTGTAAGCTTGGAAATAAAAACCCTGTTGTAGACAATGTCAGGCACAAATAGTGCCTCTGGGTTCTGTCATTTTGTCGGGTTTAAATTTGTTTTTTCATCCGGGTTTTTAAGGATCTATGTACATGCGTGGCGCAACAAAGTTAAAAAAAAATTCCCTAATAGCTCACTATATGGCGTCTGCCAGTCTTTATAAACCTGGTTTTCCGACGTGGTTTCCCCTTGTCAGTAATGCAGGACGGAGGACCTGACAAGGACAGCTGTCTAGTTGTTCGGAAAGGTATGACAAACCGAGGCCACGTGTATACATTGGCATGGGACGAAAAACCGAGGTCACGTGTACACATTGGCGTGCACGTAAAAGATCCCTTGGCAGTTGGAATTCGATATAAGAGTAGGCCATAGTGCCACTGTCTGGGCAAATTTTCCCTCATAGCACACTCAACACTGTTTGGCGTATGCCCGTTTTCATTAGCCCAGTAGGAGCAGAGCAGTAGGACGTTAAACCCCATTTCATTTCATTAGCTGGGTTAATACCGAAAGGTAAGAATTTAAAAAAAAAACATTGCACTTAATTTGACTATTTAACTCAGTATGTGTATTGGTGTGTAGGTATGACAGCAAAATGAAATGGGGTTTTATCATTCTATTTTTCTGCTCCAAAGAGATGATAGTATGTGAAGAGAGAGAGAGAAATGGGGTTTAACGTCCACTCGACACAAACTAGGTCATTTCGGGACTAACATATGGTTTAATTTTATTTCAATAATTCGCTTGCGCGTAGGGGTCTTTAGCAGTGGGAGGAAACCAGAGGACCCAGAGAAAACCCACGAGGCTGGACAGGCGACCCTACTCCTTGTCACGTACAACCGGGGATTCGAAACCACGCCAGTTGACTCAATGACAGGTCTTATGATACAGCACCCACGTGCTAACCATTCGGCCATCCAACCCCACAGCATGTAAAGTGATGTGACCATACTAACATGTGATAAACTTTTTGAATTATATTTTCAGGGTCGTGTAGTTTGATTTGGATGCTGTGTGTACGGTATTTTTTAATCAACAGACATCGTAAAAATTACGCAATGGTTCGACTGGATGACGCTCCGTCACAAGCTAAGTTTAGAGGTCAACCAGCTGTACCCTGGGTTTCTCTATTTACTAAACCTGCCTTCTGGTAAGTAAATTCTTACGTTCTGTTTACATGGCAGGTGGTCTCTAGTGATCCAAAGGAACCCCCGTGGCTAGGTGAGTAAGACACAGGCTCGCTAGCCTGGAGGTCGCGTGTTCGATCCCTGTGTTGGTCGCAAATGTTCATCAGGATTTTCTGGTGTGGTTTCCCCCTGTCATTGGTGCAGGATAGAGGGCCTGACAAGAACAGCTGTCTAGTCGTTTGGATGGTATGAAAACCTGAAGACCTGTGTATGCATTGGCATGCACGTAAAAGATCCCCTGGCAATTGGATTTCGATATAATAGTAGGCTGTAGCGCTGTTGTCCGGGCAAAATTTCCCTCATAGCACACTGCATGACGTATGCCCGTTTTCATTAGCCCAGTTGGAACAACAGTAGGACGTTAAAACCCATTTCATTTTATTTAAATGTAAATCTGTTGTTATGACTAGTTTCTATTTTTACGTTTATTTGTCGAGACTGTAGTTAATAATTAGAGTAAAATCAATTTGTCCAAGATTATCCTGGTTGGTGTCAATAACTGGAATGGCATCAAACGAATTAAGGAGATTGAGGTTGGCGAGGATATATTGATGAATCAGAATTTTGTTTCCATATTAAATTGGAACCTACTTGCAAGGTTATCGCCAATCTTGCAGTTATCTCCCTTTTAAATTTACAAAATTCACTTTGTCTTTTGCAGGTCCATTATTGTTGGTCATTTCTGTGAAAACAATGCATTTTATATTTTATTGTCATGGTTACCTACATATTTTCATGAAAATTTTCCACATGCCAGGGTAAGTGTCTTAAACGCACAAGTTGTCTATTCACATTAATTTCATGTTTAGTTTGTCATTGAAGAAAACTAACCCTGACGCCAAGCATCCGTCAGCTGGATGTCCTGTTTTAACTTTTTTTTATTATGACAAAGGGAGAAGATGACCCGCCCTCTAATCTCATGATAGGTATTTTATAAGTGTTTTTTAAGGTGACTTTTTTATATACAAGGACTTTTTTTTATTTTGTGTTTTTACTAATTTTCAACCCATTAAGTATAAATAATTTAAAGATACATTAATGGGAGATTAGATAAAGAGCTGGCAGTTCTCACTATAATAGTTAAAAACTAGATACTGTAAAGGCAATTTGCTGAAAATTTCAGTCAAATTGATCCACTATGAACCAAGATTTTAGCCATTGAATTTTGTCCCTAGCCTCAATCATCATTTCTAAAGTCACTAGGATAAAAATCATATTCTCGATTATCCATTTTTTGATTTAATTATCAATGAGCGTTGAGATTAATACTTTAGATTAAAGAAAGACCTGCAATAGGCAGAGTTAGCTCTTGCATAATGTATGTTTAATTAAATCAACCTAGTGATCCAAAGGAACCCCCGTGGCTAGGTGAGTAAGACACAGGCTCGCTAGCCTGGAGGTCGTGTGTTCGATCCCTGTGTTGGTCGCAAATGTTCATCAGGATTTTCTGGTGTGGTTTCCCCCTGTCATTGGTGCAGGATAGAGGGCCTGACAAGAACAGCTGTCTAGTCGTTTGGATGGTATGAAAACCTGAAGACCTGTGTATGCATTGGCATGCACGTAAAAGATCCCCTGGCAATTGGATTTCGATATAATAGTAGGCTGTAGCGCCTTTGTCCGGGCAAAATTTCCCTCATAGCACACTGCATGACGTATGCCCGTTTTCATTAGCCCAGTCGGAACAACAGTAGGACATTAAAACCCATTTCATTTTATTTAAATGTAAATCTGTTGTTATGACTAGTTTCTATTTTTACGTTTATTTGTCGAGACTGTAGTTAATAATTAGAGTAAAATCAATTTGTCCAAGATTATCCTGGTTGGTGTCAATAACTGGAATGGCATCAAACGAATTAAGGAGATTGAGGTTGGCGAGGATATATTGATGAACCCTCATTAATGAACACAGTCATCGATATAAACAGTTTTTTTAAGATAGATATTGTGATCTATTTCGACAGAAGATTGAAAGCCAGTGTGAGGCCTGGTCAGATAAATTTTCTGTAGGCTTAAATGTTTCTTATTTTGTTTCAAGATTGGGTGTTTAGGGTTGGGTGTTGAATGTGTTTTTATTTTACATGGTTGAGTGTTTATTCAAGTACCATGTGTTTGTATTTTACAGGGTTGGGTGTTTAATGTTGAACCATGTGTTTGTATTTTTACAGGGTTGGGTGTTTAATGTTGTACCATGGATTGTAACTATACCAAGTTCTATATTCAGTGGTTGGTTGGCTGATAAATTAATTACTAAAGGTACATAACTCCTATTATTCTAGAAATCTAACAAACAGTTGTCTTGCACCATGGACAAGGGGGGAAACCAGTGTGGAAAATCCAAAGGAACTTCCTTGTCCAACACAGGGATCAAACGCAGGAACTCCTTGTTAGTGAGGGGGTTTGGATGGCTGAATGGTTAGTGCATGCACACTGAATCAACTGAGTCAACTGGCATGGTTTCGATTTCCTGGTTGTATGTGACAAGGAATAGAGTCCTCCGGTTTCCTCCCACCATATGTTAGTCCCAAAATTACCTACTTTGTGTGGAGTGGACGTTGAACCCCATTTCTCTCTTCTCTCTTGGAGTACAAACAATTATAATCCTTGAGTGGCATAATAAAAACACAAAAAAAAACATTTATATGGAAAATAATCACTGGTTTGTATGTATTATGGGCTTTAATTGGTTGACTGCCAGAGATAATTGATGATTTCTTGTGTTTTAATTGGTTGACTACCAGAGATAATTGATGATTTCTTGCGTTTTAATTGGTTGACTGCCAGAGATAATTGATGATTTCTTGTGTTTTAATTGGTTGACTGTAAGAGATAATTGACAAATAATATTTTCTATATTTCAGGTTATTCTGTAACATTTGTTAGAAAATTAATGGAGGTTAGTGAGGTTTTAATATTAACTAAATATTGTCGTAAAAATGTGTGCCAGGAACTTTTTTCTTTTGATATACAATACTAATTTAAAAATCTGAAAGTCACCTCATTATAACTACTGTTCGGGTCTGACAAATAATTGTCAGATCGTAAAGTCTGCCATTAGGTCAAGTAAATTATTGAAATAGATACCATATGTTAGTCCCAAAATGACCTCTCTCTCTCTCTCTCTCTCTCTCTCTGTCTGATCTTATGTAGTACCATAAAATCAGTCATTGAGTCAAGTGGCATAGTTTCAATTCCCTGGATGTACATGACAAGGAGTAGGGTCGCCTTATTCAGTTTCCTCCCACTGCTAAAAACCTCTACACACAATCAAAATAAAATTGAACCATATGTTAGTCCCGAAATTACCTAGTTTGTATGGAGTTGAGTGGATGTTGAAGCCCATTTCAGTCTCTTCAGATTACCTTCACAGGTAATATTCTATGTCTTTTACAACTCTATGTTAGATTGGCTAGCACATGCTATCTACTGGGGTTTCAATATTCATTGTTTCATATTGTAAGGGGTGTTGGATTACACAATGGTTAGCATGTGCGTGTTGTATCATAAGGTCTGTCATTGAGTCAACTGGCAGGGTTTCGATTCCCTGGTTGTATGTGACAAGGAGTAGGGTCGCCTGTCCAACCTCGTGGGTTTTCTCCGGGTACTCCGGTTTCCTCCCACTGCTAAAGACCACTACGCTCAAGCAAATTATTGAAATAAAATTGAACCATGTGTTAGTCCCGAAATGACCTAGTTTGTGTCGAGTGGACGTTAAACCCAAATTCTCTCTCTCTCTCTCCTTTGATATTGTGTGGAACTGAGGTGTGTTGATGAGCATCTAGCTGGCTCCCTAACTAGAAGATTCCTAGTACGGTACCACCAGTGTTGGCAGAGAAATTTCCTTCTAATTTTCAAGTCTGGTTCCCCCTTGTCAGTGGTGGTGTATGGATGGGAAGAAAAACTGAGTTGACCCTTGAATGTGCACGTAAAAGAACCCTCATAACACTTAAATTTCATTTTATTTTTTAATTAAATATGTTTTTTTAATTTATATTTTACAGAGTGTTGCGTTATTGGGAACATCATTTTTTTTAGTATTTATATCACACACAACTACCTACATGGGATCATTAACTTGTATGGCTATAGCTATATCTTGTTGTGGTTTTCATAATAGTGGTATATTAGTTAATCCACAAGATATAGCTCCTAAACATGCTGGATCAGTATTTGGTATGTACAACATTTAACTTATACAGTAAACTTTGCATAAGTCGGATCTAAATGGACTGACCAATTTTATCCGAGTTACGCGAAGATCCGAGTTAGCCGAAGACCTAGTTCAGCTCTGAACGTAGGTCTCATTATCGCCCTGTATGTTCAGGAACCGTCTTACTGAATCCTTGTCGAAATAAAATCGGTTCCCAGTCAATTTTACAGGGCAACTTTTTACAACTAAACGGTCGTGTGTCAGTCTCTGTGAACGCCTGAACAATGTAAAGGAACATTTTAGTGAGAACATAAGACCTTGCTTACCTCGCTAGAGTCAGCATGTGCAACACAACATGCTGTTAAAAATGTGTACTGTTGAGGTCTAGAGTGGGCTAGCGTACGAATTTACGTGGCACGGCCATATAAGACGAAACGAAATTTAGGTAAGCTGGGGTGGGAAATAATTAGAATCATTGAAAAGCTGAGAAACTTCATCAATTATTGCTTTGCCTAGCCAAATTGCAATCAAATTTTTTCAAAAATTCCAATTTTTGTCTTATATGGCCGAGTTGCGCAAAATGTGCGCTGCCCTGTATTTGGATTTCAATAACGTAAGCCAGGCCGTTTGGTGGAGGGGGGCGTATTTTTAACAGCATGTTGTGATCATACTGCCGATCCGACTTAGGCAAAGGAAAAAAGCCGGAATTAGATCAAATGGACCGAACATTTTGATCCGAGTTGAACAAAGATCCGACTTATGAAATCCGTCTTACGCGCACAAATTTTAAAAGAAAAACGTGCAGGATCAAAGGGTCCAAACGATTTTATCCGAGTTGAACGAAGATCCAACTTATGCAAGGTTTACTGTATATAATTATATATATATGGGGTCACAAATGGCCGCTATAGGTCATAAGTCATGGATTAGATCCCACAATTATAATATGGGATCTTAAGTAATGGGTTGGATCCCATATTTTAACGTAGCAAGGAGTAGGATTGCCTGCTGATCCTAATGGCTTTTGTCTAAGCACTCCTCCTCTCCCCCCCCCCCCCCCCCCCCCCCCCGCCAAAAAACCAACTAAAGGTAATTATTGAAACAAAACATACCTTTTCAGTGTTTGTTGTAAAATGACCTAGTTGGTGTAGAGTGGATTCTAAACCCGAATACTCTCTATCCCAAGATTTTATTTCATGTATCGGGACAAAGAAAAATATTTGTTAAGATGTCAAAAAGGAGCCACGGTGGGTAAGACACTGGCTTGCTGGCCTGGAGGTTGGGTGTTCGATCCCTGCATTGGCCGAGAAAGTTTATCAGAATTTTCCAACGTGGCCTCCCCTTGTGCAGCACGTTTGACCTGACAAGTACAGCTGTATAGTCGTTCAGATGGGACAAAAAAAAAAAACGAGGTCCCGTGTATAAAAGATATCTTGGCAGTTGGAATTCGATCTAAATGTAGGTGATAGTGCCACTGCCCGGGTAAAATTTACCTCATAGCACACTGTATGGTGTATGCCCGTCTTTATTAACCCTGTCGGATGCAGGACAGTAGGACATTAAACTCCCATTTCATTTCATTTTCATTTCATAAGATGTCAAAAAATACTCTCAAAAAATACTTCCTTAAGAAGAAAGAATGGAAGTTATATTTATTTGTGTGGCATATTAATATCTCTGAAAGACAGGTATGGGTATATAATATTGTATATTCTGTATTACAGGTATAATGAATATGGCAGGTGCAATACCAGGTATGTACATAATCTAATAAGATAATCTAACATACACTTAGTTAGCTCGAGGGGTTGGATGGCCGAATGGTTAGCACGTGCATGCTGTCTTATAAAGCATAAAGTCTGTCATTTAGTCAACTGGCGTGGTTTTGATTCCTCGGTTGTACGTGACAAGGAGTAGGGTCGCCTGTCCAACCTCGTGGGTTTTCTCCGGGTCCTCCGGTTTCCTCCCACTGCTAAAGACCCCTACGCACAAGTGAATTATTGAAATAAAATTAAACCATATGTTAGTCCTGACATGACCTAGTTTGTGAGGTTAAACCCCATCTCTCTCTCTCTGTGTCTTTCTTGAATTATGGGGATCACTATGGCTAAGTGGGTAAGATGCTGGCTCGCTAGCCTGGAGGTCGGGTGGAGCAGAACAGTAGGACGTTAAACCCCATTTCATTTCATTTATTTTATTGAATTTTCTCCCATACTGAAAGAGTTTAAATAGAGTTATCTCCAATGTTTCTGAGATCCCAATTTTAAAACAATATGATGATAGGTTTATTTTATTTTGTAGGTTTTGTTGGTGTGTATATAGCAGGACATATTTTAGAGGCTACCAAGAGTTGGAGTGCTGTATTTAATCAGACAGCAGGGGTGTGTCTGGTGGGTTGGATAGTTTTCGTGCTCTTTGGAACTGGCAAAAAAATCATCTAAAAACCTTTGTGTTTCAAAATAATTATGGAATAACATTCAGCAACAAATTAAAAAAACACTGCCATAATTTATTTGTGTTGGGCTGATATTTAAAAACTTGAATATTCATTCCTTGTTCGATTCATATTAAAGATGGAATCATGAACTCATTGGGTGTTTTTTTTCATCATCCCGGGAGACAGTGGAATAAAGAAATAACATAACAACATTGTGAAACTGCTGCATAAACTTATAATTGATACGTGGGTATTATATGGAACGTTGTTGGTGGTTTTATTTTTATAAAATCTATTTTCTGTGATCAATGATCTATGTTGATTGTGATTTTAATTCTTAGTCAGTGATCAAATCCGCCCAATTATTTCAACTTTTATCCTTTTCATTTGTAAACGTTAAACCTATGTGTGTAGAAGTGAGAGAGAGTATGTAATGTATATGTTGTACAGTAGAGCCTGGTTAATCCACACATTTGGGTTCTCATAGAAATTCTCCAGACCAATGAAATTCATTCATTATAATATTCATCCAAGAGTTACTGGATTACATGTGTCCGGAAAAACGAGGTTCCACTGTATTTCAGTCTGATTAAAA